AAATGTTAGCCTTACCATGGGCACCGTGCTCTGTCGGAGTTGTTTTCACCCATGCCAGGGAGACCTGGCAGCTCGCAGATGCTCTACTATAGGGGCCTAAGTAATCAGAATAGGGTTTTAATTGGGCCCATGATACTGTAGTTTAATAAGGAACCCCCAAAGTAGTATATATAGGTAATTATTTAGGCCCCTACAGTACCAACCTTGCCAAAGTGTCAAGACACGGAGGTTTTCCAGGCGGCATCGAAAGCAAAGGTGCTACACCCGTAGCTTTGGAACCTCTCGATGAAAGTTGCAAAGCCACGAAACCCTGTGCCAAACCCGCTCAACACTAAGCCCTTCATCCCTGACCCCTTCAAACCCCCAAGCCCGAAACTCACCAGGAACCCGACATGGCAGATTGTCGCGACCCCGTGCTGGAACTGGCCCAGAGGATCAGACTTTCGAAAATGTAGCATGGTATGCTACAACACTATGGTCGAGGGCCATATGAAGCAATGAATTGCTACAATATAGCACGCTGCTTCGCACAGTACAGTACATAGGACAGTGTGTCGTTGTATGAAGCAGAAATACATTTACGGCAATTGTCATATGAAAGCCTGAAGCCTTAATCCCTCAACTGAAATCGGTTGGTTGGTTGACGGAACTTGCAAAACATGAAGCAACGTAGGCTTTGCTGCGCTGTGTATGATGATACTAGTTTTACAACATCGTAGAGCTCGATATATTAAACTTGCTAGAACGGAAAGTGGTTGGTCAGTCTCCAGGATCTAGCGCCAATCTAGGGGGGCTTCCGGCATCCTCGTGAGCCCTGGAAATGCTGCAGAGCCAGTCAGAGGTGCTCCTGAGTCTTCAGGACTGGTTTGTTTGGCTTGCTGAAGTGAGGTTATAAGCTTCAGACTCCCTGCCAGTGCAAGCTTCTCAGGCTTGTGAATCTGACCCCTTGCTGTTATCTGAGGTCGAGGGGCGATTGGGCTGGGATCAGATTTTGTACAAAGCAGTTCCAGGGTTTGATGCATGCAAAGTCATGGTTTTTCTTGAGCTGTGGACTGGGCTCACGACACCTCATTGCGTTCACAGCTGCGAGGCTTGCTGTTGTTCGGTGAAGCACTTCAAACTTTGAACAAAGTAGCATAGAGTGGTTCAGGAAGCTGAGTGGTCCGGGAAGCTGAGCAGTTCAGGAAGCTGGTGAAGTAACTGGTAGGCAGCTGGCCTTCATGACCACATGACATACATGCCTTTTTTCGGACCTTGCAACACACAGCACAAGGCTAGGGCTTGGGGTTTAGGGTTTAGGGTTTAGGGGGCCATCGGCCATGGGCATCCCACTGTGGGATGGATCCGAGTTTCGTGGAAGTCGCGCTGCTCAGCGGCCGCAGCACGCGGCTCCGCTTGGCTTCGGGATCTTCCTTGGAGCAGCTCCTGCTTGCAGCGGAGAGGGAGCTCGGGGTGTGCATCTGGGCTCTTGTTAAGAAATTTTAGTTAAGTTACCAGAGTAGGGATCTATAGTACATAATATGGTTTCCCAATTAAGGTACCGAAAATCCCTTAAGAAGAGCCCAGGCATAGAGCAGCTGATTACCCCAGAGGGGGAGATCCTGCAAGAGGGCGTGGGCATCGAGCCCCTTCTTAGCTCGGAAGGGAGAGTGCTTACCGCGCAGGTGCGTGCACCCCAGCTGATCGGAGGGCAGACGGCTTTTGCACTGGTGAAGAGCAATGGCTCCATGGTGACCTGGGGCCTTGGTGGGTTGAACCCGCAGAACCCTGGGTGTCCTGTCAGGAGCATTCAGGCGACGTCGCGTGCATTCGCTGCCATTTTGTCCGATGGGACGGTGATGACATGGGGCGGTGCTTCCGACGGTGGAAGCAGTCAGCACGTGCAGCAGCAACTCCACGATGTCAACGCAATCCAGGCCACCGAGCAGAGCTTTGCTGCAATCAGGTCGGATGGTTCTGTCGTCTCTTGGGGTGGGCATGGTGGCTCTGCACCGGGTCCGCCACGAGAAGGTCTTCGCGTTCTGCGGATTCAAGCTGCCAGAGATGCATTTGCTGCCATCCTGTCCAACGGTGATGTGGTCTCATGGGGCGAGCCGCAGGCAGGGGGAGACAGTGCTGCTGTATGTGAGCAACTCCATGATGTCGAGCAGATTCAAGCTACGAAGGCTGCCTTTGCTGCCATCCGCTCGGATGGGTCTGTAGTGACATGGGGAGATCCGCGAATGGGCGGTGACAGTAGTTCCGTCCAGCGTCAGCTCGAAGACGTGCAGAGAGTGCAAGCAACAAGAGCTGCCTTTGCAGCTCTGAGGCGGGACGGGCGTGTGGTGGTCTGGGGGAATGTCGAGAGCGTTGCTGGTAGCCGGGCTTTGGAGCAGCAGCTCCAGGATGTTGAGCGAATTCAGGCAACAGATGCCGCTTTTGCGGCGATTCGCAAGGACGGCTCGGTGATAACCTGGGGCAGGCACGACTATGGGGGCATCAGTTTCCCTGTTCGCCAGCAGCTACAGCAGGTTTCGCACATCCAGGCCTCAGAACGGGCTTTTGCAGCGCTTAGGGAAGATGGCTCTGTTGTGACCTGGGGTGCACCCAGCTTTGGCGGGGAAAGCGCGGCTGTTCGCGAGCAGCTCTGTGACGTAGAACAGATTCAGGCAACGAAGGCAGCCTTTGCTGCCATCCGCAAGGATGGCTCCGTGGTGACTTGGGGTGATGGGCGGCTCGGCGGCAGCAGCAGCTCCGTCCAGCCAGATCTAAAGGACGTCCAGGCCATCCAGGCGACGTTTGGCGCCTTCGCAGCCATCCGCTCGGACGGAGCTGTCGTGACCTGGGGCTGCAGCTTCCATGGCGGCGAGAGCCTAGGTGGCAATTTGGGAAACTGTTGAAGTTCCCTTATGGTTCCTATAGAGGTACCTATTCATAAATACTTTCAGAGCAACCCTAAACCCTAAACCCCTAAACCTTAAACCCCCAAACCCTAAACCCTAAACCCTAAAATTTGCACTTAAAAAAAAAAAAACCCTAAAATTTCAACCCAGGAGCCGGCGCGTCCTGGAGCAGCTCAGCCCCATGGGAGGCTGGTCGACTCCAGCGGCTCCTGCGAAGCGGAAATGCCCCTTTGGGCAAAGGAGCGGAGATGATCAGAACAAAAAGGCTACCCTTTCGCGTGTGTATATATAAACATACACACACACACACAGAGATAGACTCACCATGCAGATTATACTTGTATCTTGTATGTTATGTATCATATACTGAGTTATATGGCATATTTCATCGTGTGTTATGAAAGAGAGGCAGACAGACAGAAATAGAGAGAGAGAGAGAGCGACTCAGAGAGCGTCGGAGCTCAAGAAGGTTTCTTGTTGGAAAACTCGACTCGAGGGATAAAAGAGTTATTTCTTGTATATCATTAGCATGATAATTACGATCTGTGGTTGTTATCGAAATTGTTTGGTCTTTATATAACTGTTACTGCTGTCATGGCCGTTTCTTGTTGCTACCGTTTTATTGGTATCAGTAGTTGTTTTTGTTTATGCATTTTGTGAACATAGCCATTCATTATCGCATATATTGCCACTAATCTCGTTGGCGTGATTGTCACTATTGTCATTGTTGTTGGAATTGAAAGTCTGCAGCTATGAGAGAGTCCAGTGCCGTGGTATCGTTTGCCCGCTGCTCATCATGGGCAAGGATGTTTTTTTTTTTTTTTTTTTCCAGGGCTACCCCTAAACCCTGAACCCTAGGAAAAGAGCCTTAACAAAAACCTGAACCCCTGGACCCTGAACCCGAAACCGTACAAATTCACCTGTATGACTCCGACGGTGGTTCATCTCAGCCACTAATGGCTAGCCCGAAGAGTCTTGACATTTGGGGTCTTAGTTGCCCTGTAGTTTCCAGTAGCTTCGAGGGTGAGCTTCCGTTTGGACAGGTTTTTGCTTGACAAGCTTGGAGTTGCGCAGCTGAAGGTTTGTGTGGGAGCAGTAAACCCACACCACTAAACCTACACCCGAGACTCCTCCCGCAACTCGAACGCCCAAGCTCAGACTTCATGTGCAGGACGCCGAGCAACTTCTCACGCCCGCGATGTTGCCCCGGCAGGCTTGGCAAAGCTTCGGACTTCGGCTGTCATTGAGATCAGTACTGTTACAGCCGTTGCGACTCTTGCTTTTCCTGCTAGCATAATTGTTGCGTAACTTGTATATCTGTGCTTACTGCGACTGTTTGTACTGTTGGACATTTTGCCAACTGCTGTGCATTTCATGTTATTGCGATTACCGTGTTCTCGAACGATGTGGGTCGTTGTTTAATTGTTGTTGGCGCTGTTGACGTGAAAATGAGCTTGCTATTAGACTTATTACTGCCATTCATACGGCATGCCATAGTCTCTTTACATGCAGGCGTTATAGGCAGGGGCTCCCTCTAAGACTCTAGGGTTCGTGGATTCATGGCTTTTGGTTTAGGGTTTAGGGTCTAGCCTTCACTGTATCCACAACTTCTGATTGTGGATGGAGCCATAAAATGAAAGGGGTTCCGTACTGTGACTATACCATAATATCCCCAGTTCGAGGTTACAGGGCTACGGATTTGAGGGGTTTGGCATTTTGGGCTGAGGGTAGGATTCGAGGGTCCAGGCCATTTGGGTTGAGCACTTCTCGTTTTGGAGTCTCATCCGCTTGTCCGAAACAAGGATCTCCGCTTCTTTTGGCCTGGCGTGGCAGAGTACTGCTGTGGAAAGTTGTTCTGCAAGTCGCATCCTTTTCACCGCAGACCTGGCAGTCTGATGTTTACCTCGGAAACTTTGGTTTAGGGTTAGGGTTTAGAGTTTAGGATCTCGGGTTTTGAGCCCCTTAAACGTCGAAGGTATGACTCACGATTCACGGCCCGCGGCCTGCTACTCGTGACCTACAAGTCACCAATGCGAATTCCCAACCCTAAACCCTAAACCACTAAACCCCTAAACCCTAAACCTGTGCGCGGGTGCATAGTCGCAAGACCGAGCCGCGATGTCGTCCTCGGCTGCCGCCGATGCAAAGAAGCTGCAGTCTCGATGGGAGGAGCGCCCCTTTGCAACCCTTAAGCCGAAACAGTAAGTATGATAGAACTACTTTATGGTTTAGGGTTTAGGGTTTAGGGGGAACTACTTTATGGCTACAAAGTATAGGTGACATCCTAAGCCTTCAAGTTTAGGCCTAGGTGGCTGAAGGACGTCATGGCGCCGCAAGTATTCCTTGATGGATTTGTATCCTCAGGCTCCGCCGCAGAGCTAGCCCCGCTGATCTCAAAAGGCACTTCGCGCATGGACTCTGATTCGCTGGCTTCCTGTGGGGTCGCGGGTGTTGAAGCTTGATCCGGGTTTTGGGGTTTAGGGTTTAGGGTTTAGGGTTTAAGGTTTAGGGGTTTAGGGTTTAGGGTTTAGGGTTTAGGGTTTAAGGTTTAGGGGTTTAGGGTTTAGGGTTTAGGGTTTAGGGTATCCGGGTTTTGGGGTTTGGAGTCTTAGGATGTAGGGTGCTCGGAGTTACAGGCTTCGGGTCTCGGGCTCACCGGAGCTTTGGGCATGAATCCGAAAAGCCCTGGCCTACTGCTAAAACCCCAAGCCCTGAAATCCTAAACCCAAGAACCCAGAACCTTAAATCCGAGCCTAAATCCCCAAACCCGTTCCCTTAAAACGCATCAAGATGAATATTCCACAGCTCGGAAGGAGCTCTGTCGCCGCCTTGAGGTGCACTTTGGCTGCAACCCTGATTCATCTATATAAGTTCAAAGAGGGTTCAGGGCTTACGGGGTTTAACGGCTTTAGGGTTTGAGGTTTGGCTCGTGCCTCAGTAAGATCTTCAGAATACCCAAGAGCCTCCTGCAGAAGGATCCACGGAAGACCACAGGCGGAACTTAAGCCGACGTCCCAACCGAAGCCCGATGGAATGACCTTGTGCCGCATGCATTCAACAGGCACGCCTTTAAAGAGACGCTTCATGTTCGGGTGAAAGCTGTTCTGCATCTATGGCATACGTACATGGGAGCATCCCTGCATAAGAGTCTTTGTGGGGTACATGCATTGAATGGTGGCATGGCTGCACATACATAAGCAAGCCGGTAACCTGAAGCCGAAATGGCATACGTATGTGTTCACCCGTGAAACGTCCTCGCTCACCTTTTTCGCATGCGCAAATGGAGTCGTAGAATGGATAATATAGGAGGATAACAGATAACATAAAGCTTGAATAAGCTAATAAACGAAAACTACTATTCCTTGGGGTTCCTTGTACCTACTACAGTAGTACAGTATACCCCCAACCCTTATTCTGCACATTGAGATCCCTATATCAGCTGTGTGGAACAACTCGTATTTGCATTTACGTGCCGAGGAGCCCAGCCGACACCGCGAAATGGTGGCAGACCCTGGAGACACGCGACTTGGCAGGAGGGAAGGGTTCAGCATCTCGGGGTTTAGGGTCGAGGTTTTTGGCATATCGGCTTGAAGCGAGATTCGGATGCAGGTTGAGTGCGTGGACTAGCCTGCATCCCGACTTCCTCTGCGAGTTTAAGCACATGACATGAGCTTTCGTCTTACGCTTCGGGCCCTCACCCAAGCCGGAAGCCCGGGCTCCTGCCTCTACCCTATAATGGGCTATATAATGGGTATATAATAGCTATATTAAGGGTATGTACCTAGGGGTCCTTATTAATGTGAAGCCGAGGGCATGGGGAGCCCCAGCGATTCTATCACACCCTGTCTCACCTGGCCGAGATGTTTGGCTACTTTGACGATGCTTGGCTTTGGGAACCCCAAAACCCATAGGTTGAACTCCAGGGCCTCAGGCTTTACATAGGGCTTGTATCGTCTCTTGTTGTAGGGTTGGGGATCCTGGGATCGAGGGTCTCGCTTATGGTATAGGGGCATATGGTTGAGGATCCCGGTTGAGGGTGAAAAAGTTTCGGGTTTAGGGTGGTGTGTAGGGGCAGTGTGTCTACAGTAAGTTTCCCAGCGGCGGCTTGGGATACTTTGCCTAAACCCGAAACCCTTAACTACAGGAGCCCAATGACTAAACCTTATTGACGTAGCCGGCCGGGTTACTTGAGGTGGGCTGAAAAGTTGATGACAACCCTAAACCCTATACCCTGAACCCTAAGCCACTTACGCCATCCTAGTGTGAGCATGAGATCTCGTGCAGGGTTGCCTTCCCAACTTGCAGCACCTCAGCCCAAGCTTTGAAGTCTCAACAGCACGGGTTTCGGTATTTTCAGGGCTGAAGGTGCGGCCAGATTGGGGCTTAGGATTTTCGGGTTTGAGCATCCTTACTTAAACCCTCATGCCAGACTCCAAAAGCTGAGTCGGAAGTTCAAACAGTTAAAGCCAGACCTTGAAATTCAAGCCGCCTGCCAAAATCCGACACATCTGCACGCAACCTCTGATTCGATCCAGGAACATCACTCCAAAGCAAAAGCCCCAAATCCTGCGGCCCGCTTCCGGACAGCCGGACAGCTTTACCCTAGGAAACGAAACGCGGGCTTCGACATCCCACTGCTGCCTCCCAGGAGCATACTGCCTCTATCGAAGATGCTGCATCTGTGGGCTTGGCGATCTTCTTCCATGATGCCTCTTGGATTTGGATTTGTCACTTTGATGGTCTGGTGTGTCTTTAGCACCGAAGCATCCCCGGCATCTATGAATCGCAGATTTCCTAGAGTGTGCAAGGCATCAGCATCTTGCGGCAGACGTTGAGGCTTAGAGGTTTAGAGTTTAGTGTCTGAGGCGGGCCAGAAAAGTCAGTAATACTGGCCTCTCAGCGAACTTCAGCTTATTCACCACATGAAGCCCCAATAAACCCAAAATCCAAAACCTGATTCTACTGATCCTTTCCCCCTGCATTAGATTTTGCCTCTTTTGCTTGCGATCCGACGGCTCAGGGAAGTGAGTAAGGAAGTAGCCTTCCTTCTGTGAGGGTTCGATAAGTGTCTCTATAAGGCTTCCTGTCTAAAGTTTCAGAAAGGGTTAGGTGAAGATTCTATATGGGTCACGAGTAGAGCTTATGGTTTCGTCCGGCTTTGTACAAGATTCATGTTTGTTTGATCGGATCCGGCGACTCAGTAAGTAGGTTGGTGCGAGGTAGGGTGGTAGTTAGGGCAACACCACGAAGCGTGCGTAAAGGTTCAAGTAAGGCAAACTTACCAACTCCCATGATCTTTCAAGCAAGCCCGAATCCCTATCCTAAGTCCATCTAGAATCCTAGATTTCTGAAGCCCAGGTGATCTACAACCCACGGGCTGGCAGCCCGCAGCCACTTGACAGTCGGGAGGCAAATTTGGGCTTTGAAGTTTAAGACAAAGGGGGCTAGAACTTTTGAGCCGTTCCTTGTCAGCATGTGCTTCCTCCAAGCCTCCGAGGTTTTGTACAGGGGTCGGCAGCAGCGGCCCTGCTGTTCAAAGGTACCATCGCTACCCGCTACTGCCACTCCTACTACGATACTTGGTTTTCCATCAAATGCATCGTTTCTCTGCTGTCGGAACATCGGTCCGTATAGACTACCAGCAACGATTAGCTTTGTACACTCCAGGAACGAAAAGGACAGTGCCGACTTGTTCGACATATTCGCGCAGGACCTGGCAGGTTGCCAAGGGTGTAGGTTTAGGGTCTGGGCCAATAAACCCTAAACCCTAAACCCTAAACCCTAAACCCTAAACCCTAAACCCCATGTTGGTGCTTACGATTTCAAAGGCTTATGGAGCTTGAAGATGGTCTGAAGGTTTAGGGTCGCTTGCAACCACCGTAACAAATCCGAAAAATTCTGAAATAACCATGATAAGAATGACGGCAAGAATACGACGACCACGAATACCCCTTATGATGCGATCCAGCCTGAAGCCGTTGGCCTTCAGCCCTGGCAAGAGACGCAGTTTCATTTGCGTTCCCAGGCAATCTATGAGGTGCATGGCACGCTGTAGGTCATATTAGCAAGGGTTTAGGGTTAGGGTTTAGGGTAAAGCCTTAAAGCGCTGTAGGTCATATTAGTCATATAGGGGCCTTCAAACTCAATGGCCGCATGCCCTTATGTATAGTCCCCCGCATGGCCATGGTACACTACATCGGTATCACACCCCAAAGGGTCTACAATAATAGTAGATTGGTAGTGGAGCTTGTGTCAGATCGAAGGAGGCCCTGCCGGCGGGCGCGCCGCCTGGTCATCAGAAGGGCCTCCTTGCGAGCAAGGCCAGGCAGCAGAGGGAGGGAGGTGAGTGAAGTTTGAGCGTTTAGGTGTTGGGCATAGGGGGAGGGTGGAATTTGAGAGTTCTTTCAAAGCCAATGGGAGGACTTGAAGCTTTTTGGCCTTTCATAATTCGTCTATCTTCGAAAGTTCAATCTTTCTGGGGCCCGAAGAGCGAGTTTCGGGGTTGCGGATAGAGGTTGTGCAACCAGCCCAGTGCAGGGAGGAAGGGAAGCCCGAAACCTCTAAACCCTCTAGGTTAAAGTACTCAAGGAAGGTTAGAACCGATCCCCAGATGCTGAACCCTACAACAAACCCGATACACAGTTACTAAGAACCTCAAGCGCTATGAGAATCTAGCCCAGTTCTAATCGGCCCTTGCAGCCCGTATGAAGCCTCGAGAGACCAACCCTACTAGGGTTCCTGCATGCGCGCTTGCTTCACACGCCCCTGACCGGTTAGGTCAGAAGATGGATCGCGCGCAGCTCAGTGTTTTTGGGGTTTAGGGTGTAGGAATTGGGGTTTGAGGATTTGAGGGCCTTTATTGGAGGGCGCTCTCGGGATCTCGAGTTTGTTCGGGCTTGATGTTGAGGCCAAGGATTTAGGGCTTTAGGGGCTTTTGTTGCAAGCATGTGGGGCTTGGGGATGTTAGTTGTCCGATGTCCAGACGTAAGATCTGCAGGTTCTGGGGTTCTGCACGTTGGGGTTTAGAGTGTGGGAAGTTGGGGGTTGTTTGCCAGCCCTGAACCCTAAGCTGCGAAACCCATGACACCCTGATTTTGGAGCCTTTATATTTTCCCAATACTCTTTTGTTATCAATACAGTACATCAACCCCCCCAACCGTATTCTAATTATTCAGGCCCCTTCGGTACACGTAAACCTTAAACCTTTTTGCGTTGAGGGCTCTTCCGGCTTAGTTCCGAGCGGATCATTGTCCTTCCCGTAGTAGGAGTACAAGCTAAACGCTCTTTTCCGGAATGCTGGAACCACACCGCAACTAAATATGCCGGCCCTGATGGGAAATATGGTCTAGTAGCGACAAAGTGGCGGAAATGGTCTGTTGAGCTGCACAGAGCGCGTGGCCCCCGTTCTAGAGAAGCTTTAACCTTGAAGCTCAAGCCCTGAATCCTGAAGCACTGCTTAGAGGCCCAGGGGACTTAGTAAGTCGGTTTTAAGTGGGGTTATAGTTGGGGTACCCCCATTTAAGGGACTTATAACTCTACTTTTGACCTGCTTACTAAGTCCCCTGGGCCTCTAAGTGATGCTCGACCAACACCCAGGAGCAGACTGCTCACCACAAGTGTGCAGACGGTGACGAGATGGACTGCAGGCTGTTCATGGATGCCTGATTGGAATTTAGCATGACTTCCCAAACCCAAAACCCTACTGACGGACTCTACAATTTCTGAACACAGAGACAAAAACTAACATCACGCAACCCATCACTACTGCACCCCAAACCCTACATAAGCAGAACTATCTATCCGCATCGACACCCAGAGCCGCAAGCTACAGTCTTCGCAGTTGAGGCCCTTGAAGTACACAGCCGCCAAACCCTGAAACCCTGAACATGCACATACAGACAATAAGAAAGCTTAGTAAAACCTTGATCTCTCATCCACTCCAACCTTGTACAGCTTTATCAAGGCCTGAAACATCCCGACAGCCTTCTCAAACAAAGGAACCCTATTCTCGTCCTCAAGGCCCCTGGATTACTACAGGCGCCTTAATAATTTGAATAGGGCTCTTTATTGTCACGACCGCATAATATACCCCTCAACCCTATTCTAATTAGTAAGGCCCCTATATTATAGTACCCTTGTAGATCCCTGAGCCCTATTCTACTTAGTAAGGCCCCCTGTTTTAGCTACACCCCCCGGAAGCCCAAGGACTTTGACATGGCAGTGCTGGGTCGGCCCTGGGAGCAATACGAAGAGTACAGCCACCTTGCTGGTTTGGGGGCTGGGTTTAGGCTTAGGGTTGGGTTTTAGGGTTTAGAGTCTAGGGTTTGGGTTTAGGGGGTGTAGCTAAAGCAGGGGCCTTACTAAGTAGAATAGGGTTCCTTTAAAGGGGTCTATGAAGGTTGCTATAAGGGATCTATAAGGGTACCATAGTATGGGGCCCTTAATAATTACCGGGGCTGGGTTTAGGCTTAGGGTTTGGGTTTAGGTTTTAGGGCTGCGGGTTTAGAGTCTAGGGTTTTGGTTTGGAGGGTAGGGTTCAGAGATTTTGAGTCTTCGGGTTTAGTGATTCAGGGTGTCCAGGGTTTAGGTTTAGGGGTTAAAGTTGGCGAACATCCGCTTGTCGTAGCGCCCCAAACTTGCAGTGCACCATTATGTGTAAATGGTTCGGTATGTAGGCTCAAGACAAGTGACAAGTGACGTTTGTCAAGCACAGTTCTGCGCGAACCCGGGTAACTTTCTTCCACACTTGGCGCTCTTGGATGGAGATCCGACATGCCGAAAAACAACCGCAGACGAAGTCAGAACCTGCCGAACCCGAATCAGCTCCACAAGTTAAGTTTGAATCGTAGGCCAGGCAACGCACCACTTTCCCAACAGGAAGTTTCGGATGAATATCCTCACGGAACCCCTATAGGTACCCTTATAGGATAAACCCTTAAGGAGTACAGACGCCCCCCGCTAAGGTCGACAAATTCGTCCGGTCCCCGGCCAACTGTTGTTGCTTGTGGTGGAGTTTGGGGTAAGAGTAGATTGGGTTGACGATGATATTTATTGCGATGATGGTATCTGTGGTGCAGGGTTGAAATAGTTCACAGGGACCCTTAGAGGGGGGGCACAAGGGGGAAGGGGGTAGGGGGGCCAATAAGAACCTGATGGGCCTAACAGGGCCTTTTTCAGGAAATAGAGCCCCCTCCCCCCCCCCCCCCCTTCCCCCTAGCCCGGTAAGGGTCCCTATGAGTAGTACGCGAATGGATGTTGGCGGTGATGATGATGTTGATGACGACGATGATTCTGATGATGAGTGTGCTGATGGGTGTCTCGGTTGTCATTCATCATGATGGGGATGACCATGACGACTACGGTTGGTGATATAAATCCTGCATTACCCATAATAAGGAATATGCCATACTTCCCAGAGTTAAGGGTCCTTAAGGTAATGCAGGATTCATATCATCAACCGTATGAGGCACCATGGTGACTCTGTGGCGGAGTTGTCAATGAATTCGCTCAGCCAAGGCCCAAAGCCACAAAGCACCAAGGCCATCTCGAGCCCTCAAACCCTAAAGCAACCCTAAAACCCTAAAGTACGTTTAGGGTTTAGGACCCTAAATCCTATACCCTAAACCCCCCTAAACCTTAAACCTAAAGCCCTAATCACTGCTCCCAGCCTCGCTAGTGGAAGGAGTTCTCAAGATTCCAAGACCCTTGCAGTCTCGTACCTCAAAGCTTCAAAACAGCTGTTAGGGGAGCCTGAATACATACCCATACTACCCGTTTGGGTTCCCTACTATAGTTATAGTTACAGTATAGTATACCCCAAATACTCCTATTCTTAGTTGTTTAGGCCCCGAGAATGCCTCTTCTAAGGCCAAGAGTACTGCCACGTGCCGGAGGCCTGGTCGGGCCTTTGAAGCCCCGGAGCCCTGACGTAAGGTTAAAGTCACCAAAACCCCCTAGCCCAAAACCCTAAACCCTAAACACCGAACCCTTAACCTCTAAACCCTATAAACCCTAAACCCCAAACCTTAAACCCTAAACCCTACACCCTTAAATCCTCAGGCCCAGGCCTCAGATCCCAAACCCGAACTTACCCCAGCCAAGCCCGACGAGTGCGAAGCCTACGGAGCTGCAATCACCCATCCCAAGTCCAATGCCAAAACCCGAAATCCAAGAAGCGTAGTCAGGTCAGAACAGTAACATCACTGCCTGAGGCTATCCCTTGGCAAGCCCGGAGGGGCCTTTCGAGTTCGGGACTTAAGGTGCAGGGTTCGAGGTGTAGGGGTTCTGGGTGCCTGGGGTCAGGGGGATTCCTGCCTAAGTCACGACCATCATAGCAGATCCTTGGAAGGAGCAACAGAAATTGACACAACACCAAAGCACACACACACCCGTGCCTAACAAGAACAGAAGTCGGGTTCAAGTACCCTGATTTTGCCTTGTCCGCGAGGCTGTGTTCTGCCTTGCGCGCTCCGCTTTTTTAAAATCTGCTGCCGCTGCAGCACGGCCAGATTCTTGTGTGTTTCCCTGTTGACCTTGGAGGGCTACGAGGGAATTCAGTTTGCAGACCTGTTATGTGGATATCTTCAGCAGTCTACATAGTTCAGGACAGCGAGCTGCCAGATTTCGGGGACATAGCTCTACATATATGTTGAAAAAAGCTTCGGGTTGTCGTAACATGTGAAACTTCAGTTTCTTGAAGATTCTTAGTTTTGCTGTGGTTTCCTGAAGAAGTAGTCGCCAAGGTTAAATTCGTCGTCGTCGTCCTCGTCACAGCAGCCAGCAGTATCGGTGCAGCATTCAGCAGCACCCTTACCAGCACCGCCGCCAGCCTCAGAGCTCCATCGTCATCGTCAGCACCATCATCACCGCGATGGTAGCATCCGCAGGTTTGATCATCCTGAGCCCTGGGCCGTGAGCCTTAATTCCCAGAGCCCGAAGCCTAAATCCCGACCCTGCAACCCGTGTGCCCGAGCTCCAAGACCCCTCCTAATTCCTTCGTCCTGAAACCCCAGGACCAAAACCCTAAAACTCGGAAACTTTAACGCATGATGCGAGAAGTATTCACCTAAGCCCGAAGGAGGAAGCACATTCCGTGGGCTTTGCATCTGAGGATAGGCCCCTCAGCATTTGACACAAGCCTCGGCCCATAGGCCCTTAGACCTTATAGAACCTCATGGTATTCTTAGATTTGAGAACCCACATATACAGTAGTAGCGTAACGGAAGCCTCTTTGTACAAAGCCGACAAGCTCCCTTCGAGCCTTCCCTAAGCCCTTACAGACACCGAGGATCTCAGCTTGCCGATCTATGCCACAGACGCGTTCCGGGACTCCCGTCCGGGGCCCGGCTTTTGTGGAGATTGTTGGGGCTTTGGGGCCGTGGAGTCGTGGGGTTTTTAGTGAGGTTTCAGGGTGTCAAAGGGTTCAGGGTCAATCTCTGGGCTTAGGGTTGCCATGAAAGCTGTGCTTTTAAGCCGCTGTCGGAACATGCAGTTGTTGTTTAGCAGTCCGAGTTCGTCAGTAGCTAGTCGGAACCTGTTCACGTTTTAACCAGTGCTTGAAGTAGCGGCGGTCACGGACGCCCTTGCATCAAGAAGTGCGCCGGGATTGCCAGGGTGTGAAAGCACCACGAACTCTAGTAGTGCGGGAGTTTCCCAGACCTTCCAAAATCTTTTAATTAAGGAATATAGCTTGAATCATATCATCAGACCCTACTATAACTTACGATCTATTCCTTAATTCAGGGATCTCGGAAGATCTGGGGACAGTGCCAGGCGAGTCGCAGGCCCGTGCCAACGCGGCAAAGGAGGCCCAGCTACTCTCGGAGCAATTCGAGCGAAACTGGGCGAGATGGTGGGGTTTCGGGTTGTGGGCTCAAGGGTTCGGGGTTGTGGGCTTAGCGGCATCTAAAAATTTTCCAAGCAGAAAATGCCAGCATCGGGCAGCAAACTTGCTATCTCAAGCGGTGGAAGCTGTTTGGGACTGGGATACAGCCTGTATGTGACCCAAAGCCCAAGCCCTGTCACAGCGACTTCTACTCTTTGCTGCTTTGTCCTTAGCATCAGAACCGTCTTCATGCCGGCTCAACCGAATTATCAGATCCTGAACCCGAACCATACAACCCTCCAACCCTAAACCCTAATTCCCAACCCCCAAAAATCCAAGGCCGGAGCCCCTACCCTTACACCCGAAACCCTTTTAACCCCAAGCCCCAGTCAGTGTTCTCTGTGGCTGCCGACCAAGGATGTTCGCAGCACGGCTGCAACTGGGTGTAGGATCCCACGAGAGGTATCCTGCAGCGAGCCCGGATTTGGAAGGAAGCAGAGGTGCAGGGAAGCCACGCTTTGGGGGCTTATGGAGCAGTCGAAACTCCCGCACTCACCAACTCAACTCCCTAAACCCTAAGCCGCCTAAACCATACCCCCGAGCCCGAGCTTTCCTAAACCCAATGGCAGAGTTCCCCCTTAAAAGAGCCCTTATAAAGGAGCCCTTATAAAGGAACCCATAAACGGAACCTGAAAAGGCACCCCCTCCAAAGAACCCTTAACGGAACCCGAAAAGGAGCCCTTAAAGGATCCCCTACAAAACCCTTAAAGGAGCCTTAGGCAGAACCCTTGGAGGGGACCCGTGAATGAGCACCGAAAGCTGTGAGGCTCTTGGCGCGGCTTACAGCGACGGCCGGATTGCGCCTGCAGAAATTCGCCAAAAACGGTTGGGTGGCGAGATGCGGAGCGCATCGTGTGGGCAGTATGGTTTAGGGTTTAAGGTTTGAGGCTACAGCAAAATACATTAGTGGCCATAGTTCAGGCTGTTGGCTTTAACGGGTGGGCTTTGGGAGGACCTAAACCCTAAACCCTAAACCCTTAATCTCCGCCTTTTTGGCCGCGGGCGTTGCCTCTGTCTCCAGGCTCCGAGCACTCAAAGCGCCTTCTCTCTGGGGATTCGGAGAAGGTTCAATGCACCAAAACCCGAAACCCTACCTTAACCCTGAAGAACCTACCTTTTTCGGGTTCCCTATTATGATTTCCTTATATAAGTCCTTAAAAAAGTAGGTTCTTCAGGGTTAAGGTAAACCCTACAGCCCAAAGCCCTAACCCTAAACCCTGAAGCCCGCAACCCCAAAGCCCTAAGCCCTAAACCCCGAAGCCCGCAACCACAAAGCCCTAAGCCCTAAACCCTGAAGCCCGCAACCCCAAAGCCCTAAGCCCTAAACCCCAAACCCCCTGGGAAAAAGGAGCTTAAAAAACAAAAAAACCCCAAACCCCGAAAGCCCTCTACCCCGAAACCAGCAAGAGCAAGGGCACCATGGGACCCTAGGTTCCCAAACTTGACGTTTCTTGAAAAGAGGGGCTCGGAATAATTAGGAAACAGTCTCGTCTCGGTTGTAGTTCTAGGATAATATATAGATTTATAGTTCTAGGATAAATAGATTAATGTAGGTTTATAGTTCTAGGATAATCTAGACTTATAGTTCTAGGATAGTATGAATTTATAGTTCTAGGGTAGTATAGATGAATAAGCATCCCATTATCGTTTCTCACTATTGAACCTCCTCCACTAAGCTGACCTCTGCCGGCTTTGGTTTCAGGGTTCGAGTACGTTCGGAGGGATTTATAATGCCGTGCAGGCAGGTTGCTGGATTCAGAAGACCCTTCCAACTCTAAACCCGAACCGCTACATTAATCGTAAATGTTTAAATCCGAAACCCTAGACCCTAGCCCTAAACCCTAATTGAATCAATTACACTTCCAGGAGCTGGATCCGCTTTGGCTCTGGGTGCTGCTGCAGCGCCCTCCGCGCAACGGGGATGCCCATCAGCGGGATCTTCGAGTTCTGCGTTTTTTCAGGGTACTACGGAACCCTAAACCTTGACCTTGAACCGTAAACCCTAAAGCCTCAACCCTGAACCTTCATCGTAAACCTTCAACCCTCAACCCTAAACGCGCATTCGTACACCCTCAACCCAAAACCCTCAACCCTTCAGTAAAGGGCATCGGGTTCGGTCATAGAAGCCGTCAGAAGCGACCTGGGCTCGGCAACCCTAAACCCTCAATGGGAAACAGCAGTAACATAGTGTAATACTGCAATTCTGCAGCTTACCAATGCAATGTGCCCACACTCAGCTGATTGCACCCACATGTAGTACTGTTGAAGGATAGACCTGAGTTGAATTCGATTAGAAGTTGAGTGTGAGAAGAGAAGATGATTTTGAGTGTCAGGCAGCCACACAACACTAATGTCTGACATGTACCGGTTGAATACTACAACAGAATGATGCCAGGTTGTGGTTGTACAGCTGTGCTCTGACATGCAACTACAGAATGTAACAGCCGTGCGATGTTATACCGGGGTAGCAGTATGCCATCCAAACAACATGGTAAGCTATGCCACATATGCAATGCTCGGTCATTGCTATATGGACCTCCAGGACGAGGAAGTGGTAGGAGAATGGAGGTTTTTACCGTCCTGGCTGGTGGCATTAAGACTATTTTGGCAGAGCAACAACAGGAGCAGGAGGAGTCCAAATTAGTGCCGGCAGGGATAGTGTGGAGGAGCAGGATGAGTATACGTATACTATAGAAAATAGTGTAGTTAGAAAAAGACTATATAATATAATGGTCAGACGGACGAGGAGGAGGGCAGCAGAAGCTCAGCCGCTTCAGGGAGCGGCAGATCGATCTGCGCAGTAGTACTAAACAAAAGACTGCCATGTGATTTGGCCCGATGTCTTAGGCCAACATGCATCAGGCCTAAGCCCTAAACCTCGCAGGGGCTTCAACCCTCAACCCGATATCCCAAGACACCTGAACCCTAAACCCTACCCCCTTGTCCCCAACCCCTCAACCATAAACCCTTAACCCTTAAACCCTTAACCCTTAAACCCTTAAACCCTTAAACCCTTAAACCCTTAAACCCTTAAACCCTTAACCCTTAAACCCTTAAACCCTTAAACCCTTAAACCCTAGACCCTCAACCCCAAGACCCCTCTCTCTGAGGTGTGTCATGGGCATCGGGCTGCCCCTGGCCTCTCTTCTAGGCCTGACCGAGAATACTACAGAGGCTTAAATAATCATTACCAATACTAATTTGGGGTTCCGTAGTTGAACTATGGTATAATATATCCCAAAATCCTGCTCAATTTACTAAGGCCTCTATATTACCTGGGCTGATAGCTGGTTTCTCCTGCTCTTCCTTGTCAGGCTTCAGGGTGTATAGGCTGTAGGGTTTGGGGTGTGAGGTGTAGGTTCAGGGCTTATCTTCTTTGTGGGTTTTGGGGTGCTTTTTCATTTTGTTGATAGTTTTGATAGCGGCAGGTGCCGTGGCTACTGGGTTGGAGATTCAGATTCGGCATTGACGGTTCCATTCGAGAATGCGGCGGTTTCGGGGTCTTGCAGAAGGTTCGGGCTCAGGCACATAGACTATATACATATATAGATAGACATATGCAAAATTAGTATGTAATCTAACATCAGAGCACGTCATATCATGAAACCCTAAAGCCTAAACCCGTTTTGGGGAATGATGGCCTGGCGTGAAAGAAACGAAGCGGTTGGGGTGCTTAGGCTGATGCCTTTTGGTGGGCTCGGCCTTGTTGACTTTCTGTTCTTTGGGGTGTCTTGGATCAAAGTTCCGAAGATGGGAAGCGTTAGCCCTAAGCCCCAAACCCCAATCCCCTTGATGCTACGCCGAAACCAGGTTACTTCGGTATTTGCCTGGGCACCAGCAGCTACCTTCGCCAACCCCTTGCACCCCCAGCGGTGCGTGAGCAAGGCTTGACCGCAGCTCGTCTCACAAGCCTGACCGTGCGCTTGCAGAGGAAAGTTGTGGGTCATCTGAGCTGAAACGAAGTAGTCAAAACCGCTAATGTAAGCCCTAGGCCTTTCAAGTCCTTCGGTCTTACACCCTTAAACCCTTATAGAAGATATAGGTTTAACAGAACGTGTCATGTACCATGGTCGCTAAGCCCTACATCACGCACCCAAAGTCCCAAATAGTTTCATGCAGGCGGTTCTCCTACTGCAAGTGTTCCCCCCACGCTCTCCCACAAGCGCTTCAACCGCTGATTCTGCCGAGACATGTTGCAATAAGAGCTCGTTTCGCATCGCACTGTTCATGGACGGAATCCTCCGTTATCCATCATGAAGAACTAGCCGTAATTGCCACGTTTAGGACACTTGAGGTAATGCAGTGAGAATGGTTTTCGATATAGGCTTCTATAAGGCGGAAAGGCCATGGCTCAGGGTTCTTTGGATTAGGTTTTAGGCTTGTCATGTAGTGGTGAGGCCAAGGGCGTAAGGTCCAGAGTGTTTGGAAACCTGTACACGGAACTCTACTGATGCTCCCAGATTGGGATTTTCGGGGCCCGTAGCCTCTACGCGTCCGTCAGAAAGGTCACTGCTGGATCCTACAACCCGCCACACAACGGACATCTCGCCACTTCGCGTGAATCTCAACCCCCAAGCCCTAAAGCCTAAATCCTGACCCCTCAACCCAGAAGCATAAATCGTAAAGCTTGAAGCCTGAGCCTTAAACCCTAATCTCTTGTTTTTAGGACTTCAGAGCCGGGTGACAGAGGGAGGTCGTGGTTCTGCCTTGCGGGTGTTTTTCTGTGGATAGTCTTTGCTACTGTCTTTTTTCAATTTTTCTGTTTCTATCCCTCCCGCTGTTTGTTTCTCTTATTTTGCCCGCTCCCCCTCCCTCCCCTCTCCCTCTCCCCTCTCCGTCTCTCCGTCTCTCCGTCTCTCTCTCTCTCTCTCTCTCTTTCTCTCTCTCTCTCTCTCTCCCTCTCCCTCTCCCTCTCCCGCAATCCCTCCCTCTCTCTCTCTCCCTCTCTCCCCCACTCTTATTTCTCGTCTCGATGGCATCCTCGTCCTGAGACCGTCTCGGCAATTCGAAGCAAAAGCCGGACTCCTCGGAGCCGAGGAAGTGGTCAGATACCTCGCAGCGCCTTGGCTTTGGCTTTCAGCGCTTTTTTTCGGATCTTGAAGTGGGGGTTCAGGGTTCCTTGAAGCGTTCCTTTACGGGGGTTTAGGGTTCCTTTCGGGGTTGGTTTCTGTGCTCCTTAGTGCTGTCATTCCAATCTTGAAGCTCACCATGCTGCGTGGAGCAAGGACTACGCAGACGACCCTCAACACAGAAGAAGCCTTGTTTTGTTCGAATCTCGACTTCGGGTAGAGTTTGCAACTGTCACACTCATGATACTAGTAACAATTCCTCAGAACCCCTGCGATCGCCAATTTGCTACGTGGACAGCCAAGGCGAGGTATGAGCGAGTGCACATGGTCATTGGGGTAAACCCGCAGCTCAGCTTTCTCTTTAGCTGATGTGTTGAGGTCGTCATAGTTTTATCGTTAATGCAGAGTATCAAGCACAGCAACAATATGACAGTCATCGTGGCAGATTTATGTTCCGCTTGTCAGAGCATAGATGTAAAGCTGACTGTCTCCGGCTACTGGTAGAGCTTTCTGAGTGGCGCAGTGTAGAAACCAGGATTGGGGACTTCAACAAGATCGAAATTGCAGGAGTTCTGAATAATTGACCGGGAGATCGTCAGCGAATGATCGCCGTGCTTGCGTTCTTCATGTATTGGTGTGCAGCTCCATGTATTGGTGTGCAGCTTTCTTGAGCGCCATCCGCTCTCCTCTCCTCCACAGTCCTGAACTGAAGCCGGGCAGCTGCACGTGAAACCCTGGACACGACACCTCCAAGCCCCCGAACCGTAAGCCTTCAACACAGAGCCCTCGCACTAACCCATAAGCTCCAACACCCCCAAGTCCCAAGGCCCTAAGTTGTCAAAGGCTGACCCCTAAATCGTACAATAGTTAACGCTCTTATAATTTAATCCGTGTAGTAATCATGATAGTGACCCTAGAAGGGAACCATTCAAAGGAACCCTAGAAGGAATCCAGGTTTTATCATGAAGGCCCCAATATCAAAGTCGCATGTCCCCTCGACCCTGAACCCCAGACCTTAAACCTTAAACCCCAAAACCCTACATTCCAAACCCTCGACCCTAAACCCCAAACCCTAAATCCCAAGCCCAAAGCTCTGCATTAAGCTCCCATGGTATCAGGTCCAAGAACCGAGGCCATGCTTTCTCATTGAGGCTCCAATTGTCGCTTAAACCCCAAGCCCAAAACCAAAAAAACAACAAAACCCAAAGCACTAGACCTTCAAAAACCTTAAACCCTCAAACCCTAAACCCCAAACCCTCAACCCTAAACCCCAAGCCCCAAACCTCAAACCCTGAACCCTAAAGCCTTAAAGCCTGAAGCTTTAAAGCACTGGCACGCCCAGGGGACTTAGTAAGTCGGCTATAAGTAGCGTTATAATTTGGCTAGCTCCATTTAGGGGACTTATAACTCTACTTATCACCTACTTACTAAGTCCCCTGACCCTGCAAGTAGACCCTAAACCCTAAACCCCAAAGATCCCTTTAAGGAACCCTATAGATCCCTTTAAGGGAGCCCTTTTAAGGAACCCTTACTAAGTCCCCTGGGCCTCTGAGCATGATCTCAGGTCCAAGACCTATGCCGTGAGCCCATACGTCCGACAGGAGCTGCTCCGGGCCGCTCTGCTCTGAAACTGTTGGTGATATGGGAGTTTCCGAAAATACGGGGCCCTAATATCATACCCTAAATAGTAGGATCCTTATTACAAGAACCCCAAAATCAGGTACCCTAATTTTCGGAAACTCCCATATGAATCCTGCATTACCTTCGGGACTCTAAACTATGGGAATTACGGTATATCCCTCATTATGGGTAGTGCAGGATTTGTATCATCAACCGTAGGGCCCAGGGGGCTTTCCAGGGTTTGGGTAGGTTTTAGGGTTTGAGGGTTTAGGGGCTAAGGGGTTTAGTAGGGTTTGATGGTTCAGGGGTTTGGGGTTTTTGGAGTTTGGGGGTTTAGGGGTCAAGGGGTTTTAGCAGTTTGAGGTGTAGGGGCTTGGGTGTTGAGGAGTCTAGGGCTTAGGGTTCAGGGGTTAGGGTTTATGGTTGGGGGGTTTAGGGTTTCGGGACTGGGGCTTTCGAGGGTTTCTTGGGGATCCTCATGATCACAAGCTTTCTCGAGGGTTCAGGTGTGTGTTGGGCTTGAGGGTTTTGTTTTTCTTGTGTTGTTGTGTTTGCGCGTTTTCTTTGTTAGTGGCTTCGAGTGTGGCCAACGGTTTGAGGGATTTGGGGTTTCATGGGTTTCCGGTTTGGGTTGTGGGGGTTTGAGAGCCCTGTTTCTGAGCTTGGTGTGTCTAGTTTAGGAAATGAGGATGCAGAGTTTTGGGGTTTAGGGTTTAGGCTTCCGTGGCTTTGGATTAGGCTGTGAAGGGCTGAACCAGGGACGAGAGGCCGGTTAAGCTTGTGCAGCTTTGCTGCATAACAGCCGTGGTGCCTTAAGGAAATCGCGAAACCATAGAGCTCTAGGTGTGGTTCTTAGAAGAGTTTTTCTTCGATCGAGTCTTTGGGTGTTCAGGGCTTTGGGGTACAAGGTTTTAGGCTTTGCTCGGAACGTCTAACAGGAGCCCAAACAGGCACCTAAACAGGACCTGTAAAGGTATTATCCCTACAAGGGGGTGGGTTGCGATAGTGTATGTTTCGTACATGGCCTGGATAATTACCGCCACCATTCCTTGGGGTTCTTTAATATGGGAGTTTCCGAGAATAGGGGACCCTAATATAGTACCCTAAATCGTAGGGTCCTTATTATAAGGACCCCTCATTTTCGGAAACTCCCATATCGCTGCGCCATAATGTGCTCCGCAACCTTGTTCCAAGCATTGAGGGCCCCTATTCTTCTTAGCGCTTCTGCCGTCGGGGAGGACCCCAAGGGCCTCTGAGCGACTACTTAAAGGATCATGGGACTTAGTAACTAGGGTTACAATTAGCGTAACTATACTTATAACTACTTATAACCACCAATTAAGGTACTCATAACCTTATTTCCTAAGTCCCATGATCCTTGAAGTAGCGATCAGGCAATGCTAAAAGAGCTTGGCCTGGCGAATGTGGAAGTCTTCATTGTGCGCCTCGGTGAGAAGCTTGATGATGAGAGGGAGGGTTTTACGATCGGCACTGGCTCAACTGAGACCCTGAGCTCGCACGGCGTCCCAGCTGCTGGAACTCGAAACCGCAACCGAGAGCATACGAAGCTGTTGAAGCCCTGCGTCTCTGAGTGCCTCGTCCCGAGGCTTATCGTAGGCTCACTGAAGCTGCTCTGCTTGTTCTTACAGTCTACTAAAACCCTCCCCGAAACTAACAATAAACGTCGTAAGCCCTAGACTGTAAAACCCAAACCATATAACCCTCATGTCCAAAATTGTTTGGGATTTTGGCTACAGGGTTTAGGCTCTGGGCGATTGAACCGAAAAAGCCAGGATATCGAGGTTGCCCTGCAGCTGGTTTAGATAGAGGCAGCAGCAGCTCACTCCAAGAATCAGAAAAGCAGCTGAACCATAGCAATAAAGCTGCCTTAACCCTAAATCTTTCTTGTTCCAACAGCGGTAGGGGCCTAAATGATTACCTACACTGTTTTGGGGGGTTCGTTACTATAGTTATTTTTTAATGGGCCCCAAAACCTTATTCTAATTCTACTAGCCCGGTTCAGGCTTGAGGACGGAAGTTTGAGGAGTGCTACGTAAAGGAGCTTGGTGCGTTGTGTACACAGGGCCACCTTGGAAGGCAACGTACTACGGGTTCATGCGTGCGTGCGGCAGTCTGTGATACGTGTTTTGACATTATACAGATATACCTCTACACACATATATCCATATATGTATATACTTATGTATGCACACACACACAGAGGAGTTCCTTTAAGGGTTCCAGTGAAGGCTCTACACCCCAAAGCCCTGAAGTCGCTAAATCTCTAGACTCAAATGCCGCCGAGATATAGCTATCTCTGGAAGCATGCGCAGAAGCACGGTGCCAAAGTCATGTACCGCGGAATACGCAGCTTGCAGAAGGACCTGCATCTGGGCCTTGTAGTACCCTCGCAGTGCCCTGCAGTATAGTTTAAAGACTACCCGTATAGTACCGACCATCCTCATTCGCGTCCTCTGCCTCGTCGTCCTCCGCATTATCGTCCACATCCCCCCGATTATCCTGGTCCTCCCCCACCTCACCCACCTCCTCCTCTCCTCTTCCTGCTCCTCCTCCTCCTCGTCCGCAGTTGCTGCCACCACCATCCCCCGCATGAGTTTAAGTCCCCTAAACCCTAAACCTCTGCATTTTCGTCCTCATCATCGCAACCGTCACTTTAGCTTCCGAGCTTCAGACAAGAGGCCGAAGCCGGAGATCCGTGAGCCTAAAGCAGAAAATGCAGAAGCCAAAATTCTCTCCCAAAGCCCGTCACCATGGAGTCTTGATAGTCTTCCTTAGGGCCGGAGGGCTCCTTATCTCTTTCGAGGAGAGTAAGAAGATTCTAGGAACACTGAAAAAGCCAAAGCTTTCGCGAGGACGGCCTCGACGAGAAGAAGCTTGAGTTTCTGCTCCATGGCTGACATTTTTGTTGGGCTTAGGGTTAGGGGGCATGGCGATTTTAGGGTTTAAGCGCTTATGATTTAGGGTTTACCGGCCGCGGGTTTAGACAGAGCCTTCTCAGCGAGTTAAGATTTCGTACTCGGGGGGTTTGGCGGCATGTGGTGCGAGGTTTGGAGGTCGAATGTGTACCAGCTGTTGTATCGTAGTCTTCTGTCGGTCTAACAGAGAGGTGCATGCAAGAATGCATTGAGATAAGGTTGCATGTCCGTGGTTCTGTACAAAGTTGATGAAAGTAGGTACCTGGAGGAAGAGATTGCTTTCTTCTGCGCTCGGCACTGAAGAATGGATGCTTCTCGTCCATACCGCACACTGTGCTGTGGCTGGTGTGGTGCATTGTGGCGTTGGTGGTACTTCTGTAAAACGTACCTTTGGTTAGTAGGGAATGGAAGAGTGGTGGTAATAGTAGTTCTAATTGTACCCCATTCCTCCATTCCCTACTAACCAAAGGTAAGAAAATTAGAGCGTGGCGGCCATCAGTACGAACCAGGTGAAGTGATGTTCACATCGAGGCTGGGTTGCAGACCCAGCCGCAAAGCCAAGGGTCCAAGGGTTGAAATTCAAGGAAGCGCCTAAATCAGCCACAACCGTAACGTACAACCTTCTTGCCTGATCCCAGCTTTCTGGACAGATATATGCTCGCATTATAGAAGTATAGTATAAGCACAGAGTAATCAGATTGTGAATCTATCACAACTTTATTCCGCTATCGTAATTTATACTAAAGTATATTGGCATTATAATAGGCCTTGAAGTCGAACTGCTTGACCCTAAACCCAAAAGCCTCAACCCTGAACCCTAAGCCCAAAACCCCTAAGCCCCAAAGCCCCTAAGCCCCTAAACCCCGGAACCCTAAAGCCTCAACCCTGAACCCCCCTAAACCCGCTAAGCCCCCCCTTGAAGCTCCAAACTCCCAAAATCCCTAAACCCTAAGTCCTAAGCTTTGGGCGTTCGAAGAGCCTGACGAATCACAATAGGTCCTGCGGGAAGATTCTGGTATTATTTATGTTAGAGACTACATGGGGCTACTGTCTTTACTTGTTTCGACCCCTATCTCAAGGAACTTGGCGGGACAGCTCATTCTCGCTGGCCGACGCCCGATCCCAACGGCGTACATCCAGGCAGATCCAAGGCAGGGTTTGGGCTTGAGGTTTATGGTTTAGGGGTTTAGGGGTTTAGGGGTTTAGGGTTCAGTGTTGCGGGTTCAGGAGGTTCAGGGTTTTGGGGTTAGGGTTGAGGGTTTAGAGGTTGGGGTTTAGGGGCAGGTACTGCTTCTGCTACTGCCACCGCCGCTGCTGCTACTACCACTACTACTGCTACTACTCCTCCTCCTTCAGCTGCTGCCACTGCTACTGCTCCAGCTACTGCCACTTCTGCTGCTACTGCTGCCGCTACTGCTGCCGCTACTGCTGCTGCTACTGCTGCTGCTACTGCTGCTGCTACTGCTCCTACTGCTACTGCTACTGCCTACTGCTCCTCTCTTGCTCCCTCTACCGCTCCCAGATCTGCTGCAGCTGCTACTGTTGATCGTTGCAAAGTTAGTGAGGTTGTTTGGCATGTAGCTCAGAGTTAGGCATCCTGGCAGACCACGCTTTCAACAGCACGGGCCTTGAACAAGTGCTCGGAACTGTCCAAAGCAAACTCCCTGGAGACCCCCGGCTTGAGACTCTAGATCCTTAATATAGGGCCTTAAGAACTGAATCCTGACTTCGCAGAGCTTGGGGCAGGTTTCTACACGTCTCTTCGACGCTGCTGCGACAGCGGCTACAAGATCGCGAGACGATTGCCGACCTTGTGCCAAAGATATGCAGTCTTCTAGGATGATCGATGGCTTTAGAATTTCGGGATTGGGGCTTCAAGTGACTCGAGAAGTGCTCCTCAACGTTCAAACAGGGGCCTTACTGAATAGGGTCTTGACATGCAGCAAAAGCATAGTGTAGCATAGTCTTGTCTAGCCTAGTGCAGTACAGCACAGTGTAGTCTAGCATAGCACAGTTGAGTATAGTATGGTATGGTATAGTATCGTGATGTATCGTGTGTGTCTGCGTACTGTGGTCTGGTCTCGCATGGTATGGTTTGGGATTGTATGATGTGGTACAGTACAGTACAGTGCGGGATAGTATGGTATGGTATCGTTTCGCATCGTGCAGACAGTATAACCATAGTGGGGAGCCCTGGGGAACACCATTGGTAAGTATTCAGGCCTCTACATTCTACACGAGGTTGAATGCAGATTTTGGTTCGGAGCTTCGGTTTCAGGCTTGGCCTCGAAGCTACAGCAAACACATTGTGCCAAAGCCATGTTCTTGCAATGGCTCGGACTCCGAGAAAAGAGAGAGTCACTCCAAGGAAAGCAACCCTCCCTAAAAACTGAGACTCAACTCTTTATTCTGGACGCAAGAGCCCGACCCTGAGCCCAGAACTCCGCAACTGCGGTCAGAACTGAGGGGATAGCGCCCTCTAAACCCTAAGCCCTACACCCTGAACCCTGAACCGCAAACCCCAAACATTAAACCCCTGAACCCACCCTAAACCCTGAGGCCTACGTCCGCCCTGACACCTAGCCCCCCCCACCCCCCGAATCCAAAACCATCGGCCCGACGGCCGAGGTGCCTCCCGGCTGTGCATCTCTGGTCCAAGAGGCCTACGGCTAGAGGCCGCCCAGATTGCGCACCGCGGCAGATGGTGTGAAGTCTACCTAGAAGTTTCGGGCCAGCAAAAGCTAAATGCCTCATCATGATGATGGTCATTTGTATTTCGGTGTTGTCAGTCATATGGATAATACGAGTTACAATTGAGGTATCTCCCATTAGAGTACTTATAACTCTATGTGAAACCTGCATACTCAGCCCCCTGCACCATTAAAGTAGGGCTTTTCAGGCTTCAGCGTTTTGCGCTTCGGGGTTTTAGGGTTTAGGGGCTTATGGTTCTTAGGGTCGAGGACTTTGAAATTTTGGGACTTCAGGGTTTAGGATGTAGGGTAAGACGATATTCGTGAGGGTTCCTTATTTTCAACATGTTGGAACATGGCCTAAACCCTGTTGCCTTTATTGCGGCCCATCTATCTATCTATCTATCTATGATTATCGAGCGATATATCTGTCTACCTTTCTATCTATCTATCTATCTATGATTATCGAGCGATATATCTGTCTGCCTTTCTATATATCTATCTATCTATCTATCTATCTATCTATGTATTTGGTACTTTGACATACATGAATGTATATGTTTATGCATACCGACATACATACATACGTATATACACGTGAGCGTTATTCCGTTCGATCATTCTCATGATCAGCGAGTGCTTTTTGTGCGTGTCAGGATACGGCTGGCCGATAATTAGGGTTCCCTAGCCGTCGCCCACCCATGGTTCATTGCCTGATACATCATGTGTAATTCGACCTCATGCACCAAAGTCGCATTGATCACACCATACAAGCTGCTATGGAGGTTGTATTCAAATGCCAGACTCTGAAGCTAAGCCCTCCGCCCAATGTCCAGAATCTACAAACCGCTTCAAAATTACCCTAAACCCTACGCCCCAAGCCCTAAGCCCTAACAAAGCCTAAAACCCAGCTCCTAAGTCTGAACAATCCTACATTCCTCGTGCCTCGGAGACTCATTCGACCCTGAGAAACCCCGACAACGGCCCCTTCCCCGAGGTTCCTCCAAAGGATGTCCTTTATGTTGCCACGGAAATCTGTTATTTTGACTACTATAGGCGCCGACTCTGATAACTTAAATTGAGTTCCTTGACAGCAACCCTTACTACGCCCCTTCTCCGAGGCTTCGCGGCATCGCTTTGCCACTGCGAAAAGAAGCGCAGAGATCAGATCCAGGGTTTTACTGTAGGGCCTTCAGGGTTTAGGGTTTAGGGCTGGCAAATCAGAATGGGGCGTTACTGTAGGACCTTCCGGAAAGCCCCGGTCAGGAGGCCAAGAATGATTCGGAAAGGAGAGCATATTTAACGCCTTCTATGACTGAGGGGCTTATGTAGGACCTTGATGTCTTGCCACTAGCCGGAAGCCGACACGTGGACTTCTAGAAGTTCTGGGGGTTGTTGCACCAGTCTGCCTACATCGGCTGCAGTTATTTCTACTGCGAATGTTCCATCAGTCTTACTGTCACCTGATCTTTGGTTAGTAGGGAATGGAATCGAATGGAAGAATGGTAGTAGTATTAGTCATAACTGTACCCGTTTCCTCCATTCCCTACTAACACAAGGTAGGTCACTAGGACCGCAAACCTCAACAAGCCGGGTTTCGGGTTCGGACTTTCGGGCTTCCGCCCGCAGGCCTGACTAACGAACACCTGCCTGGAGCTATGAATGCAGGGTTCAACTGGCGTGAAAGTCGTTACTGTACGAGCTGCCCCTAATTACGAAGTTTCATGTGCGCTTTAACATCCGGGGCCTAGGGGCGTGTGTTCTAGTGTTGCTGTTGGTCTACATCAGCCCTTTTCCGCATAGTATTGTCATGGTGATGGTCTCATGATGATGACTGCTGAGAGGCAGAACCCTGCATCATCCGTTGGCTCCTCTTCTTTCGATATGACAATGTGTCCAGGTTTAGGGTTTCGGGTTTATGTGTCCTAGATCCTCCATATCTTTTTTTTTTACTCTTTTCCTCGAAGCCGTTCCGTAAACCATCGAGGGTTGTCGGAAGCAAGATGTGGAGAATAGTTGCACTCGACTGACCGGCAGGGCCTGAATCATTGGAGCCTTTATGATTCCACTAATGTTCCTTAGGGTTCTTGATCGTATATTTTCTGCCAAAACCTTTTGTTACTAGCAACAGCAACTGCAACATCAGATGTCGGTGGTTTGAGTCAGAGGCAGACAAATCGTGGACTTCAGGCCAAGCGATGTTATGGTTAGCGGTTGATTCATTCGATGTTCTTGTGTCTTTCTTTTTTGGGTGTTTTGGGTTTCCAGGCTTCCGGATCTTGGCTTAAGGGTACAGGACTTAGTGCTGGTTTTTTCAGGATGTAGGATTTTTTCAAGATTTAGAAGGTCTTGGGGTTCATATTAATCGGGTTTAGGGTTTATAGAGGCTTCACGCCCACCCAGACCAAAATGGCAGGTTTCTCCATGTCTCCTCGCTCGACCTCAGCCGCGTCTTCCAGGCATCTGTGAACACAGTTAACATAGGGCCCAGAAGAAGTACCATCACTACTCCTTTGCATAACGGCCCCTAGTATAACATGTATAATGTAAACTGTAACATGCCCAACAGGCTGCTTCCGTTTACTCCGGACCCTCTGTTACTAGACTGCGACTCACCGTCCATGGCCTAGTTGTGACAAAGGACTGATGCTGACAGTGAAGCCTATGCAATCTAGAGGTTGGAATGATTACGAGTATCATTTCCTTTTACTGCGCTGTATTCTGGCTATAGCTATATCCAGCGTAACGTACCCCCGAACCTTAGTCTTACTACTGTGGGCCCCGCAGCAGATTGGTGAGATTTGGCTCGGAAGCCGTTCAGTGTGCAACAATAGACAAGTAGACGTCAGTTGAACATGCCTCAGGCCTTCTCCTAAACCCTAAACCCTACACCCAAACCCTCAATCCTAAACCCTTGACATAGAAGCCCTGGTCGTCACCGAGCAGGCTATGGTTACCAACATCACATGAGACAAAATCTATGGGGCTCCATGAACCATCAGTGTATATCTGTATATATATATATATGTAAAATGTTACATAAACTCCATGTATGTATGTGAATCTATATCTGTATGTAGTATATAAGTATGTACATAGTAGACGTAGAGGAAACTGCCTTTCAAGACCCCCGACAAGACGAAAAGCAGAGAATGAGAAGTCCTCAGATGGATGCCCTGTCTTTCTTTCCTCGGAGATGTTGCGGGTCTGGAAAGTCTCCGGCGAGGAGCTGGCCAGGGTGCCCGTAGCGGAGCTGAGCGACGCCTCGGAGCTCAAGCGCTACTTGCGCGTGAAGAACAACTTGCCCATTTGCCTTCAGGAGCTGCTATATAATGGAGCTCTGTTGCAGGACGATGCCAAGCTGTTCCCTTCCATGGATGCTTGGCGTTCTTCTGGTTGGCTCTTAGGACTTTAACTTTTTGGGTTTCTATATGAACCATATTAACTTCTTGGAGGTTCAGAATTCAGCCAAGGATGTGCAGTTGATCTTATCATCTCTGGCTTTGCGAGGGGCGGAAGCTGCTCTAGAGCTGCTCGAAGCTGCCGAAGCCGGGGAGGTTCCTCGGCTTGATTTGAGTTAGCACAATAGGGATCTATGGTTAATAATCTGGTTTCTATAGTATAGTAATGTAAATGAAGCTCCTTAACAGCCTGTACAAGAAATCGGGATCTATCGTATATACTATGGTTTCCTTATTATTGTAACGTAAAGTAAGAATCCCATAGCAAGAACCCAGGTCGAGGCCATGCGACTGCTGATTGATGCGGACGTGGACGGGGACCTCCTGGGCCAGCATATGGCCACGGCGCTTCTTGCCGGAGCCTCTGAAGGCCACGTGGAGGTTGTCCGATTCCTGATTGAGGCCGGGGTCGCTACGGAGACAGAATGGCATGGTGAGACAGCTCTAAGTGGGGCCGCTTCAGAAGGCCATGTCGAGGTCGTACGCCTCCTGCTGCCAACAATGGACGTCCAATTTTGTGCAACTGCGCTGATCAATGCATCATCTGCAGGCCATGTTGAGGTTGTCCGCTTGCTACTTCAATCCAGTGCGGATGTGGACTGTCAGCACAGCGAAACGGCTCTCAGCGCGGCCAGTTCCGAAGGTCACGTGGATGTTGCGCGTTTGCTTTTGGAGGCGCGTGCGGATAAAACCTTATTCCAATTATTCAGGCCCCTAGATCATCGTACCCTTTACGGCCGCCCTTGAAAGGACCCCTTTGAAGGAATCCCTCTAGTCTAATTCTTTGGAGGCGCGTGCGGATGTGAACTTGTCGAACCAGCACGGGGAGACGGCTCTCGTCGCTGCGTCCTTCGAGGGGAAGGCCTCGCTCTTGTCAGGGTATTTTTATTTTAAGTAGTTTAAGGTACCATAGTAGGGATCTATACGGGTTCCTTTAAGGGATCTATAAGGGTTCCTTTAAGGGATCTATAAGGGTTCCTTTAAGGGCTCCAGAAGGGTTCCTTCAAGGGCTCTATAAGGGTTCCTTTAAGGGATCTATAAGGGTTCCTTCAAGGGCTCTATAAGGGTTCCTTTAAGGGATCTATAACGGTTCGTTTCAGGGTTTGGGGTTTAAGGCTTAAGTCACTATAATAGGGATCTATAAGGGTTCCTTTCAGGGTTTGCATATTAGGGATCTATAAGGCTTCCTTTAAGGGATCTATAAGGGTTCTTTTCAGCGTTTGGGGTTTAAGGTTTAAGTTACCATAATTGGGATCTATAGAAAATAAGATGGCAGCTTAAATTAGATTCCTTAGCAAGAGCCCAGAAGGTTGATGTGGTGCGCTTGCTTTTAGAGGCCGGAGCGCACGTGGCTTGCTTTGTCTAGTAGAAAGCTGTGCTAGAAGCTGTATTGGGAGGAGTAGCTGCATCACAAAACCCATAATGTCAGAGTGTAGGCATTCCTTTTGAAACCCCGAGCTGTCGGAGTAAGGTAGACTTCCAGCATGGAAACACGCCTTTGATGGCGGCTTCATCCCAAGGCCACCTTGAAGTTGTGCGACTGCTTTTGGCAGCAGGTGGGAGTTGCTTTCAGAGTCATTATAAACTAGAGAGACGAGTGTCCCGAAAGCGAAGCACATGCCGATGCTTGATATACATATTTAAAATAAAGTTGTGATATGGAGTGAATCTACATGCCTGTAAAGAACCGAAGATATATATATATATATATATATATATATGTACATGTATGCCTGCATGCACAACAACGACGATAGCGACGACGACGACGACAACGACAACAACAGCAGCAACAACAACCACCACAAACACAGCGAATACGACAACTACAACGACAAGAACAACCACAACGACAACGACGACAACGACAATCACCACCACCACCACCACCACCACCACCACCACCACCACCACCACCACCACCACCACCACCACCACCACCACCACCACCACCACCACCACCACCACCACCACCACCACCACCACCACCACCACCACCACCACCACCACCACCACCACCACCACCACCACCACCACCACTGCCGCCAACAACAACAACAACAGCCACAACAACCACAACGATGACGATAACGTCGACGACGACGACAACGACAATTTACGAGGTCGCACCCGTTCGCACCCGAATCCCAAAAAACGTTCCCCGAACTGCCGACGAGGTCGCACCCGTTCGCACCCGAATCTCAAACACCGTTCCCCGAACTACCGGCGCATTCCGGACTTGGACCACTTCTGTCCGGCTTCGGTTCCCCCAACAACTGCTGCGTCAGGGAATGCCGCCGGAACCTTTCCCACAAGTACTGACGGATGCCGACAAGCCATCCTCAGCCAAAACACTGACAAACCCTGGCAAAAACCCAGCCGCGGCAACTTTTGGAATGATATGGTCCCACGCAAAACACAATAATGCTCGATGAGGGGTCCCAACTCCGTCATCCCGCCTAACACCGAAATACACAAGGAAAGCGTTTACGAGGCAAATAGATATTTTCGGAGTCCCCCAGGCCACGTCCATTGCAACAACGACAGAAACAATAAAACCAATGATGCTAGATGAGGGCTGTTAATTTTATGCTTTCCACGAACAGACGAAGTGCACGATCCATCGCTAAAAACGGCCGTGGCAAGACGTCGGCTTCCGTACCGTTTTTGCGATCCCCGAACTAGGGCTGCGATTCCATGCAAAATCGATGAGAAGGATGCGAACACAACATAGCCATTTCAAAACAAAACATCGACAGCTCAACTCCCACGGTAAGGGTCGACAATTTCGACCTTTCTGGGAGCCTTCTAAACCATCCCAAGAACACATCCAAAATCACGATCCATCGCCATACACGCGCAGGCGCCGCCTCCAGTTTTTCACGACCTCCACTGCGACACGCCGTTTCCACCGTAAGGGTCGCGAATTTCGAGCTTTCTGAAGCAGACCCAAACAACATCGACACGCACGATGACCCGAGAAACACAGCGTGCGCACCTTCTCGTCTTAAATGGCTTGACAGCACAACACGCAGGATCCCCGCAGAGGGGTAACCCATTCGAGCCCGCAGATCAGCATGAAAGCTCAATGCCAAAACATCGACGCTCGCGATACAGCGTTTCTTTACGACGTGCGCACCTCCTGCCCGGAAAACCTTCCAAAACGCAACACGTAGGATACCCTCACGGCCGCACGTAATTCGAAGATCCTCCAAACCCCGAAGTCGCTGAAGCCTCGCAATTACCGAAGAAGCCTGAAAACGACATCCGCGAAACACCGTTTCCACCGAAGCACCGAAGCTCCGGCGCATTCCGGCTACCGGCTACCACCCTCAAAACGTTCCCCGAACTACTGGCGCGGTTTTCCACCAAAGCCAAAAACGGCCCCCGCGCGCAGGGAAAACGTCACTTTCTGCGTACCAGATACCACCACTTCCTGAAAGCAGGCGCCCCTGTATTCGTAAGGGTTGCAAACTCCAGAAACCGTCCTGAGGCGAAAGTGCCTCGGACATCGTGTTTTACGATGGATCCTGATTCGCGAACGGAGGTAGTAGCAACGGCGCCACAGCGCCAGCCAACTGACATGCACGATCCATCGTTTTTTTTTTGCGAGGGATCGTGATCAAGCGCAGGATCTTTCGTAAATAACGATACGCGAACCACTTTTGGGGGGTCCAAGTGCACGGAACATCGCGCCCACCGACATCCACGGACCTGGGGACACATCCCCGATGGAGCCGCCCCCGCTTCATAATAGATGATAGATTAATTCAAAAGACAACATACTCAACTTAGACTAGTTTATACAAATCTATACTAGCCGATACTATGGTTTGGATAAATCTATGCTAATCGATATTAAATGTAAACCAATCAGTTTATATAAACCTATACTAGTCGATATTAGAATCGATACTAATCGACGAAGACCTCCACATAAGAACCCGACGCCGACGCTTTCGGGAATAAGAATCCTACTATTTCGGCTACTATGCTAGGGTCCCTGATTGGCGGAAACTCCCAGGTGGGGCCTCATCCGTGAAGACGAGGCATGGTGATACAACTCTCATGGCAGCATCCTCCGAAGGTCATGTGGAGGTTGCGAGACTGCTCGTGGAGGCTAAGGTGGACCTGGATTTGTCGAACCAGGATGGCCAGACAGCTCTCATTGTCGCATCTTCCAAAGGCCATGACAGTGTTGTCCAAGTGCTGCTGGAAGCGGGCGCAGCCAGAGATCTTGCTGACCTCTCTGGCGAAACGGCTTTGGTTGCGGCTGCTCTGCGAGGCAACGTCGAGATTGTGCGCTTGCTCTTGGAAGCGCGAGCTTCTACGGATTTCTGGGATGAGCCAAGAGACACCGCTCTCACTGTGGCCTCCGCTGTAGGTCATCCAAAGGTGGTGTGCTTGCTGTTGCAAGCCGGCGCTGCTACAGATGCAGTCGATGAGCAAGGAGACACCGCCCTCATCAACGCAGCTACCGAAGGCCACATTGAAGTTGTGCGACTGCTTCTGCGAGCCGGTGCTCACGCTGGCCTCACTAACCAGCAACAGGACTCAGTTTTGCAAAGCAGAGCAACCTCTGGACCACAAATCTGTACCGTAAATCCAAAGCCTTGCAAATCATCGATGTTCAAGCACTGACAGGACAGAGCCATCATCGCAGCATCTTCCAATGGCCACTTCGAGATCGGGCGCTTGATTTTTGAATCCCGTTTGAGCCACGAGTTGACATTGACCGAATGCCAAGACTTGACCGACCAACATGGCGACACTGAAAAGCAAGAGGCTGTCGTAATGGTAGCGACCAATGTAGTATAGCATGGCACCATGAAAACTGCAGTGCCGCTATCAATGAGTGCCAATCCTGTTCACAGCTCCGGTAATACTTGGCTATTGCTGTAACCCTAAACCCAAACCTCCATGATACGCCTGTGACTGTGATGTCGTCATTTACTTGCAAAAGTCCACCTCCTCCTCTATCTCATTTTGCTTCGTTCCTTTGATGACGATGATGATGACGGTGATAGAACTGCATTTAGATGATGATGCTGATGCATGATCGCAGACACTCCTCTACCGTCACAATTCATGTGTCATTCATGCTGTGGAAGCCACATGATGGTTGTGATGACTGTATCGAGGGCAGTCACAGCTACATTCACAAGAACGACGGCTGCTGCCTGCCGAGGCGGGGTGTGGGAAGGAGTGAGGGGTTTGTGCAGGACGTCGTTCAAGCACCGATGGCCAGACCAAAAAACCTTCTAACTCTACCGATCTATAGACTTCCGATGTTGTTGAGCGTCACTCTGAAACCGATGAGCGAATCTCGTCGCTGCCGGACTTGCATTCGGACTCTTTGGGGCTTTCTACTGAATGCCGAGGTGTGGCGATGGCGGGTCATGGCTGCCCGGTCCATGTCCATCCGTGAAGACCAGGACCGGAGCCGCCAGGCTTGCAAACGATGCCTCCTCAGATCGCGACGTCGGAGGATGTCTGCTTCGATGTTTGTTGTGAAACGTGACGTTGGAAACATGCGTTTCTGATTCAAGGGTCTTAAATCAAGGCACCGTCTCAGCAAGACACGGGGTGTTCTTTACGCTAGGCTGTCTGTTGGGGTCCTCATTGTGAGGGGCAGATGTCACTTCAAATTATGGCTGCAAGTGGTCAACGGAACCGCAAGCTCATCATGACGCTAGTGGAAACAGCAGCCCCAGCTGGAACTGATCATTCTGCCAGTTCTAGCTGCATGGGATGCCCGTGTGGGTGCATGTCCACGAATTCTTTGGCCCCAGCACATGCACATGTACACGTCCGGCAGATCCATCAAGCATGGTTGGGAATCTTTGAAGGCATGCGTCATTCATCGCCACCGAGGGGTGGGCCCCGTCCCTGTGCATGTGTCCGCACACTCCCACAAATCATGGAGCAAAGACATGCTCGGATTTAGACAGCTGCTGGCATGGGGGGGCCATGTGCAGTGTGGGAATATCTTTAAACCAAAAATGGTAAAAAAGCGCCTGGCAGCTGCCCGCGGGCGGATTTCTGGAGCCGGTGCCCAGTCGCGCCAAGCTCCTTACGTGTGGTTAGTAGGGAATGGCGGAATGGGGTACAAGTATAACTACTATTACTACCATTCTTCCATTCCCTACTAACCAAAGGTAAGGCTCAGGCTTGACGATGGCAGCTCCACCCTGTTGGGCCGTCAGGGTGCTGTGGGCGGAAACGTCAAAAGAAACTAGATGGAAAATGCATCTTTTTCGGTGCGTAACTACGAGACGTTCCTCGGAGGTGAAGTTCACTTTTCTAGCAACCTTGTAGTGTTTTTTTCTTCCGAGTGGTCGGTTCATTGCTGAGTTTCTTGTTGCAGCGCAGGACTCAGCCTTGATGGTGCAGCATTTGCTTCAAGGCCGGTTCGGTTGATCCGCTTCGGGTGCAGCGGGTCAGCACCAGAGCATGATCTTTCGAAGCACGCGCTGGAGCCATGACCACAGACTCCGCTCTTTCTGCTTCGCGAGTTTCCTTTCTCTGTCCGCAAACCCCCTAGCCCCTGAATCTGAATCCAACACTTCTTTGAACATGGAAGACTGCCATGTACTTGCATGGGTGTGCCGGTGGCATTAGCGCACCGGTGCAGAGTCGACGTTTGCACCTTTGAAGCATCGTTTCGTTGCAGCTTCTTGGGTGGACCAGCTCAGGGCGCGTATACCCTTCTTGGGCGGATCGCAACCAGCATCAGTGAGGGGTGGGGTTGGAAGCCGTGCCCATTGAGAGCATCCTTTACAAAGCTCCCTATGTAGAAGTCTGAGTTTAGGCATCCGTCTTCAAGAGTTTAAGAGTCGAGCTCTTGGAGTTCGAAGCAAATTCTAAGCATTGGCGACAGCGTTCCTGCAGTCGTTAGAAAAGGGGAGAAATATCCGCAGAGCCAGTGCGCAGCCGTCGGCAGTCTCTTGTCTGAGGGCCGCTTCGGATCAGGATTCTGGGATCCATAGGATGTTCCGGAAGCAAGGTTTCTGGAAGCTTCCTAAATTGAGCTTACCTGCTCAAGACAGGGCCCGGCTCTCTCAGGATGAAAACGACCCAAAATACCCGTCATCTGAGTACTAATCCTTGGCAAACCCTAAATCCCTAAACCCTAAGCCCTAAACCCTAAACCCTAAGAACCCTAAACCGTGGTTGCCAGGCTCTGCCAGAATCAGAACCTGTCCCTTTTCAGACCAAAGCCTAGACAGGCGCTAGGCTGCCACATGCTTCTGACCGCGCCCCCAAGGAGGGGCTGTCGACCGTCCACCTGGAAGCTCCTGATCCTTATGAGGTTTAGGGTTTCGGGGTTTCGGGTTTAGGGGTTTCGGGTTTAGGGGTTTAGGGTTTAGGGGTTTAGGGTTTCGGGTTTAGGGTTTAGGGTTTAGGGCCCACAATAGTATAGGTAATCATCATGAAGGCCCCAATATTCTGCGCGCTCCTTGAAATCCAAAGCCCGCAGAGCCTGGTCGCTGGTGTTTGAAGCATCGGGCCCGGGCTTTCCTGTGGAGAGAGCAGGCAAAGCGAGCGCAAGCAAGCGCAAGCGAAGCAACCCTGTGAACTACCTCCACGAGTTCCCCTGGGAGCCGCTGAAAGGGCCTTCTTTTGGCATGGCCGGCATAGCGGCATAGCATGGGCAGGATAGGGAATTCTGTTTCCAAGGTATCTGAGCCGAACCTCATTCGCGGAATTCTGCGCCTCGAGCGCTGTCCAGCCTCCGACAGTAGAAGAGATGCTGAACAAAATGGAGGAGCCCATGCAGCCATAGCTCACACTGCATGTAGCTTGCAGGGATGATCGAGAAAAGATTCGAGACCAGACAGACGAGAGGATCTTGCTTGGCAGGATCGTGTGTTGAGGAGCCCTAACCTTCAAGGCTGATCGCACCCGCCTTGTTGCCTTATGATAGGCTGCGATGCTGAAGCAGTGTGTTCTTTCGCCTTGTCGCAGACGGGCAACGGCGCGCACAGTCCTTCAGCCGAAACCTTGAGCCAGCAGTCCTTTTCAATACGGAGTCTTCGCCATGCTGTTTTGAAAACCACGGCCGTGCACTTTGCAAGTTAGAACCCCAAGCCGTAAGCCTTTACGCAACAATGCCTGCATGGAGGAAGGAAGGGGACATCCGAGAGATTGTCCTGCACGTGCCGGGGTCCGTTTTCGATTGGCGCACTCGCATCTGCAAGGATGCAGCCGTGACGGGCCCTCTTCAGGCAAGCGTCTGCAGCGGCTTTCGGTGGTTGCATGGAGAGGCCATGCAGGCAGAGCATCGCCGGTCTGGTGCTCTGTTCTCGCAGCATGCAGCTCGCAGGGATGATAGAGAAAAGATTCGAGACCAGACAGACAGGAGAATCTTGCTTGCCACTTTGCTCGCGCACTTCCGAACGATCATCTCCCGTTGTCAAAGTGAATCAGGCACGTGCAGGGTGCATCAAAGCACCCCCAGCCTTCAGCACACATCGTCAGGACTCCGAGCCGTGAGAGATCGGCCGAAGCCCCTGAAGGGTTCGTCCTTGGAGCTTACACCAAACCCTTCCTTGTGTGGTGTGCTCTTGCCACCACACAAAGACAGTCAAGGGAAATTACATGGTTCTTGTCATTTCGTGCCACGTCTGTCAGATTCCCAAACACTCGGTTCGAAGTGGACCTATCCTGTGGATTGTCGGCTCAGGGTTTATAGGGTTTGGGGTTTAGGGTTTAGGGTTGGTTCGGGCGTAGGGTTGAGGGCTTAGGGCCCAGCTCAGGCTATAAGGCTAAAGGCTTCTGCGAGAGTTCCGTAGGGTTCCTATTTTATAGGATTTGGGGTTTGGGGTTTAGTTTTCCTTTGAGGTTTAGGGTTTCGCGTCTGGTGGCAGAGCTCACGCTTGAGGCTGCGACTCCGTTTCTCCCGGTGCAGAGTCGACTTTCGGTACCTTTGTAGCACTGTTTTTTATCCCTGCCAAACCTGGTCTCTGCCACTGGCAACATAACATGAATCTAGGCCATGTGCCACAGTTGCCATGTGCCACAGTTGTTTTATCAGTTTTGATGAACGGTTGCAGATGCTTGGGCGGACCAGCTCAGGGTGCGCATACTCTTCGCAGCGGATTGCAACCAGCTGGGAAGTCGCGCCCATTGAGTGCATCCTTTACAAAGTTCCCTATGTAGAACTCTGAGTTTAGGCATCCGTCTTCAAGGGTTTAAGAATCGAGCTCTTGGAGTTCGAAGCAACTTCTGAGCATTGGCGATGGCGTTCCTGCAAACGGTAGAATAGGGGAGACAAATCCGCGGAGCCAGTGTGCAGCCGCTGGCAATCTCGGGTCTCTTCGGATCAGGATTCTGGGGTCTACAGGATGTTCCGGAAGCAAGCTGCGGCAGGTTGCTGGAAGCTTAAAAAAGTGAAAAGGTGTGAGCGACGGGCAAAACTTCCGACATGTACATGCATCAGGAGAGAATGTCGGGAGCTTTAGGGCAAGAGTAACTGTGTGGAAAGCGACAGGGTTCCTGGTAAACAGGCCATGTCTGCTTTGGCTGCGCTGCGATAAGACGAAATGCCCAAAACGCTAACCATGGAGCACACGAGCCACTCACATACATCTTGACGGGCACAACAGACCCCTAAGTCATCACGTGGGGCTGTCAAGTGTGCCCACAGCGACAAGCGACAACAACCTGGGCTTGACTGACCAAGGCCAACAATGCCTCAGATAGAGACCCCCGTCTTGAATAGGTTTTGCCAGGCAGCTTTTGTTGATGACTGACCTGATTCATAAGGCCCATCCCAAGATCCGCCTCCATCCGATTAGCAATCCCAAGATCCCTAAAGCATGAGCCCATAAAGTCCTGTATCTAGAAGCGTTGGCCAGCGACAAGGTGAAATACCAACAGCGACAGCTATAGTTGCAAAGCCGCCTAAGTAGTCTTGGGTTTTGCCGCTGGCTCAGATGAAGGAAAGGGCAGTGCAAGAAGGGTGGAAGCCTCATAAAAGCTTTTCGCCAGAGCTCCCACGGCCGAACACCCGACAAGCTCTGAAGCGTTGACGCGTCTCCGTTGTTGGGAGGCAGAAAAGGCAGAAACGGACATGGAGCTGCAGGGCTGCTCTGCTGGTGGGAAGTTAGAGCGGGGATTGTTGTTGGCCCATGGGATGGCCCCCCAAACCTTGCAAAACAGCAGAAGTCATAAGCGTTCGGGACAGAAAGGAAGATCCCCGAAAATTTGACACGGACAACACCCGTCAGCTTGTGGCCAGAGTTCTTCATGTCATGTCTTCCCTGGCCCGTCTTCTCGGCAAAGGGCGCCCTAAACGCCTTAAACTTTGCCCTAAAGCTTCTTCGCCATGGCCAAGACATGTCTTGACAAAAAGGAGGTGGCCGGCGAACCTCCCGGCAGGACCTGCGCATCAACAGCACTGGCACCTTTACGCTGCTTCAGAGAGGCTTTCGCCCTGGCCGAGCATTTGGCAAAATCGCGACCGTTGCTTCAGGCTCTTGCCCGTGCAGAGGACAGGCACATCGGCTTGCTCCTCTTGGGGCGCTGCGCCTCCTTCTGAAAGATGGTGTCTACTCCCCGTGTTACCCCACCCACACTGCTGGGGCGAGCGCTCCGAGCAGAAACGCAAACCCCGCCTTCCCAGCAGTGAGGGAAGAGCCCAAAAACCCGCCGGTTCGAACCCCTGGGAAGCTGTGCAGCTCATGGGACGATGCTGGGTAACCCTAAACCCCTAAACCCCTAAACCCTAATAGTGGTCCAGAACTCGGCGTCTCCTCCGTGGAGAGGAAGAACAGCCTTCGGTGTCTTTTCCGACGCCAAAGACTCAGGGGGCCCTCTTCAGGAGCCTCTCTGCCCAAGATGGTACAAGCTCTGCTACCCTCTCAAATAAAAAAAGCTTTTGCCTGTGAGTGGGATTAGCTGACTCTCAAGGCGAAAATTCCCAAATCCTATAAAACCCTAAACCCAGTTTTAAAGTCCCAAGCCCTGAGCTGACAACAGGAAGCTCGAACTCCCAGAGTGCTCAGCGAGAGCTCCCGCTGAGCGCCGCGTGCCGTGGAAGGTCCAGCATGCCTATAGGGGCCTAGGGGTTTAGGGTTCCGGGTTTCTGGAATCATGAGCTTGCCCGAAGCCCAATGGAACATCCGACCTGCTCTTGGCAACGCAGAGACGGCAAAAAATGGGGACTGGGTTTGCAGCTCAGTTTGTTCGTTTGGGCAGGTACCTAAACCCTGACAACCCTGAACTCAGCTTTTCGGTAACCCTTGAATTGCAGACTGTCACCAGCACGAAGCTGCTCATATTGTAGGCCCTATCCGCCTGAACCTGTCAGCAATCGAGGTTAGACACACGGTTGTTTGGACATTCACAGAAACACCGACGGGTTTGGGACTTGCGTTTGCACGAAGTGAACGGCAGGGATGCAAGTTGCGCTCAGCATGCACCTGGAAAGTGTAGTTGCTGCAGCCCTGAAAGGCTCTATGCGGCTGCACATGTAGCATTGCTGGCATAGCTTTCTTACCTTTTTTAAATGTTTTTTGCAGCAGTGGCTTCGAAGGCTCAAGGTGAAATAGCTCCCGATGTCTTTTGCTCTGCAACAGACCCCGCAATTAGAATCTAATCTGTAAGCTGCCTTGGCTAGAACACAGACCCCACACCATGTCAAGCTCTTCACAAGACCCTGCGCCCCCGGCGGCTTTGATCGTCGCAGCAGACAAGTCCAGGCTCTTGTGGCCTGTAGCAGCTTTAGCACTCTTTGAATCTGTCAGTGGTAAGTTATCATGCTGCGAGCTGCTGAGTTCACAGTGCCGTGCATCCCATCCTCCACAACTCATGTTGCAGCTATTGCAACTTGAAAACTTTTCGTGATTTTCTTGTCGTCGCCATGATGTGTAGCTCGCGTCTCACACTGAACCTCTTCATGACAGTGCTGCCAGTAAGTCAAGCATGGATACTACAAGCGTACTGCACGACTTTCTATCGTCCTCGCTCCTAATGATGCGAGCTCCTTAAGAGAAGCACCACCAGCACCTCCGGCACCGCCGGCACCACGAGCAGCACCACCACCGCCACTGCCATCACCTGTTTCAGGGATCGTTGCAGGTTCGGAGTGGATTCGGATCACAGAAAACTGGAGGCCTTCGGTGAACATTTCGGTTCTACAGTAGGCCCTATAGGAGAGTAAGAGCCTGAATTTCGAAGGCTCGGCCGATGCTGCCGGCAAGCGTCTTGGCACGGCATGCATCGTGACTCTGGCTGCCGAGGCGTTTTTTTTGAAGGAGTGAGGGGTTGTTGCAGGATGTCGTTCAAGCACCGAATGCCAGAAAAGAAAACTCTTCTACGGATCTAATTAAAAACAAACTTCCGATGAGCGAATCTCGTCATTGCGAGACTGGGGCTTTCTATTCTACTATACTCTACTGGATGTTGAGGCGTGGCGATGGTGGGCCATGGCGGCCCGGGCCATGTCCCTACGTGAAGACCAAGACGGGAGCCGCTAAGCTTGCAAGCAATGCATTCTGCATGTATGGCCAGATCACGACGTCCGATGATGTCTCCCTCGATGTTTGCTGTTGTTGAACGTGCCGTTGGAATCATGCATTTCTGGTTCAAGGGTCTTGAATCAAGGCCCGTGCAGATCCCGCCCAAGACACCCGGGGTGGTTGCGACGCTTGCAGTTTATAGCCCCTTGCCGCCATGTGGCTGGTTGGTGTGGGCCTGGTTCTGGCTGGGCTTGTAGTGGGCACTGGTGGAATGCATTTGATCCGCGCTTCGGAACTCAAGACACAGTCCGGACACACTTCGCAAGGCCAGCGGCCCCTGCCATGACAGAAGGGGTTGGGGGCAGGAGTTAGGGAGGGCCTTGAGGGTTCGGCACTCAGTTCATGTCGGATGTGTCTTGTAAGTGTCTGCATGTAGCCTTGCACTCCTTCCGACCGGCATCAGGCAAGGCATTCTATGCCGTCGGACTTCTGCTCAATCTTCTTATCGGACCAGTCCTTGACATGTCCGGCTATGCCTTTGCACCAGCTTCTGTGGTTGCGCCCTTCACGGGCTTCAACGTCATCATCAATGCCCTGCTGCTTGGCCATGCGTAGTACTTGTAACATGTACCGCGGTATTATCTTTACTTCCGTCCCGGAGCCGCAACCGAAGCGTAGTCTTTGCGAGTTGCCCAAAACGTGTCAGGGTGGCACCTATCACGCTCGGCGAACAGCTGACGCAGTGTCGGTGCAACGGCATCATCGCGGTCTTTGTGACCGCAACTATGTCAGTCCTGTTCAAAGGGACACAAACCACGGAGTTTTCGGTCAAAGATGCTCAGAATCTTCTCACGCAGTGGCGCGTCCATGTCTACGTGGTGTTTTTCACGTTGTGGCTACTCGCAAATCTTCGAGTACTTGCACACGCTGCCCATGGTTCTGTAGCCCGGGGCTTCTCCCTCGGAGCGATTTCTGGATCGCTCGCGGGAAATATGTGGTGCACCCGCACCTTGGAGCCAAGCTAAGCTAGCAAAGCAGTAGCATCCAAAAGGCTAGGACAAGGATCTGGTAGCAGGCCCATGGATGAGAGAGAGCGAGAGAGAGAAAGCGTCCACAGCACTTAAGGTCTTCTGGCAGTCTTCCTCAAAGAGTGTGTTGAGGGCAGCTGCGGAACGACTTGGAGCACATTTCTCCCATATACGATGGTTGCTGGCGCGGTCTTCTTCGCTGTAACCAATGTGCCGTTTATGACACGTGGCATGCGCCATTACGAGGCGCTCTTCATGATTACAACCTTCCAAGGCAGCGGTGCTTTGAACAAGCTTAGGTTTAAATCAAAGGTTTATACGTAAGCATGTTTAATTTGGCCAATCGGTGGATGTTTTTTCTTCATGTGTTTAATCCGTGTCGTAACGCTGAGACGTTTAAAGTTTAAACCATAGCTTCAACATGTCGAGGCCTTGTTTGAATTTTTGTTTGAACAGTCCGCTGGGTGCCATACATCCCCAAAGTGTTTTTCCCCGTGTTGAAACACATGCTTAAACAGGTCGCTGAGGCCCACACATCACGAATGCGTTTCAACCGTGTCTAAACACATGTTTAAACAGTTTCCAGAGTGCGACACATCCCCCATGTGTTTAATCCGTGTTTAAACAAACATTTAACCAGTTTTCTGAGTACCGCCCATCCTGATCGTGTTTACACTCATGACCATGGCTGGTGACAGGATTGCTGCACGCGATTTGAGGTTAAACAAGTATGTTTGAAAATGTCGCTTCATGTTTAGTTTAAATGGTTTAACTAATGACTAACCAAGCTTAAATGGTTCAAACACGACTCGTCAGAGGGTTCACTTGGTGTAAGCAGTCTGCGTTTAAGCATCGGTGCGGTTAAACAAGACCCCCCCCCCCGCCTCAACCGGGCTCCAAGGCGCAAACATCCTGTCAAACAGCTTGTCCGCCGTCGTTGTGCTAGAGGAAATGGATGGGGAGCCCTGTTGGAAGCTCGTCGGGTACTTCTTATGCATCGGGGGCATGATCTTGGGGCTCTTGGTGCTGACGCTGGGCGAGGAAGATGCCGACAAGACTTCCCAGGGCCAGTTGGCGCCCATGCCCGTTGAGGAGGACACCGGCCTTTCCAGCGACTCCGAGCCGCGCACGTTCATGGAATTCGTGCATGCAGGGGCAAAAGCCCTATCCCGACATGTAGCATCCTGCCGGCAAAGATTCGAGGATGGGTCGATGCATGAAGCGCTTCAAAGCTTGAGTAGTCTTCATGCCGTCGCACCCGAGATGCCGCACGACGGCATCTGCTTGATGGTGTGAAAAGACGATCGACCTGGCTGTCTGTGTACTCCTGCCAAAGGCCCGGCAAGCTACAGCTAGACATGAGCAGCGGAAGTCCTGTGCTGACCTCAATTCCGCAAGCCTTCAACCTCAAAACTCAAGGCGCCTGTTGATGCCTGCAAAACTGCCCCGGGTCGGTGCGAAGCCCAGCGGCGTCGGCGCGCTGAATCGCACCCTGCCTGATACAGAGGTCTCACATTTCAGCAGGGCTCCAACATCTTGCCTACTTGGAGGCCCAGAGAGCTTCGTAAGTCGGCTATAAGTAGGGTTATAACTGGGGTAACTCCATTTAGGGGACTTATAACTCTACTTATAACCTACTTACTAAGTTTTTCTGGGCCTCTAAGTACACCCTTTGAAGTCGAAAGCTTTCAACCCGAAACCTCAAATAGTCGTGCGGATCTCTGGTAATTATAGGGGTCGGAACGGTGAGAAATCATACCTCATTATAGTGCCCCCTTACGACCATACCACCGATTCTTTATTCAATTTGTTAAGGCCCCTGCATGATTCCGAACAACGCCCATGTGCGCAGACCACGCATCAGACATAGATTAGGGTCTCGGGGTAGTGTGTAGTGCATCTAGTATATTTTTGGTGACGGACGCTTCAGGATTAGTTTTGGTAATAAAAGCATGGTTCAGAACAAGTAAGATGCTGGTATTTTTTCTCGTCATGTTTGAGTCCGGGCTTTAGCGACGCGACGGCTCTTGCGATTCCAGTGAAACGACTGCTCCTACAAATGCTAACAAGGATAGTAGCACGTAAAAGGACTGCAAGAAAATCATGTTCGTCATCTTCAGTATTCCTCCTCCCTCCCGGCTCCTCCTCATGATCGCTGTCATCGGGGGAATACGTTTGACTCAGCACGTTCAGCAGTCTAGCAGTTTGGCATTTTCAACACCGTTGCCATCTGTGGCATATAGTGGCATCGTCATCATCATCATCATAATCATCCTCATCATTATCATGAGTAACCGTTGCCGTCGGGGAAGCTGCAGTGATGTTCATCGCTCGTTTTGTCATTGTCATTTTGATAGGCATTACCACTGTCATAGGCCCATCACAATTATCATAATGCCCATGGTCAGTCTCACCATCGCATCATCGCCGACATAATCTCGTAACTGCCATGACGAAACTACCATCACTATCTCCATCGCCACCAGTACCAACATTGCCACCAAGACCAGCTGTACCACCATCACCACCATGGGCGCCGCCACCACCATCACCACTTCGCTACTTAATTCAACCAAACCGCACACCCCAAACTCTGACTTCGGAGGTTTAAAGTTTGGATGTGGGTTCTTGCTCACATAAAAATGAAGCTTGCAAGCGCTGCCTTTCTCTGCCCACGCAGCCCACGTGTGGCTCTGATCTCTGGGCTTCTGAAGCCATGAAGCGTGGCTCCGAGGACCAGAAGGGCAAGCAGGCGAAGCTGTCGCGATTCTTCCAGTCGAAGCCGGCACCTTCGGATGCTTCAACCCTCAAGGTCCCCGAGCTGGAGCCCGCGATGCCTCAGGCTCCCTCCTCCCATTCAGGGGCTCCCTGGACTTTAGTCGAGCGCCCTGGGCAAGCTCAGAGCGCCGTGGACGCCGTGGCGCTGAAGAACGGCGTTCCCCGGGTCTTTTACGGAACTTCTTTTCAGATAAAGTTGTAACTCATGCGATTTCCTTACGCGGCGGTGGCGGCAGCTCAGCTTAGGTTCCCTAGCAAGAGCGGTTCGATGGTGTCCTTATAGCAACCTTAGAGTAGCCTCCGCGTCGTGGCCCGGAAGTACTACAGGGGCCTGAACAACTGTTTTGGGGGTTCCTTATAGTAACTATAGTATAATCTACCCCAAAACCCGATTCTCACTATGAAGGCCCCTACATTGTAGTACCCTTATAGTATCCCTGATAGTCACCCTTTAAAAAGGATTCGTATTCTAAGCCGGAAGTGCTCTTATAGAACACAGGTGAAGATGCCAGTTCTCGGCTTCGGAACATATCGGCTCGGGCGCCAGGTTGCGATTTCCGCCGTTCTGAACGCCCTGCGGGCCGGCTATCGCCTCATCGATACAGCTCAGGCCGGCCACCTAAACCCTAAACCCTAAAGCCCAAAACCTTAAAGCCTTAAAGCCCGAACCCCAATGTAAGATTAAGGTCCTGAAGAGGCTTCCTTAGGTATGGTTTTAAGGATATATTCTAGGGTTTAGGGTTTAGGGTTTGGGGTAGTGAGTGTCTTGGAGACAAGCTAACGGAATATCGTTGCCTAACTACTATGTACTGATCTTCTGCCTGCACAACACTGCTAACTAGCTGTAGCGAGATTGTAGCTGCTAAGGTTGGTGCATCTCAGTGTCTGTCCGTCATATACGGGAGTTTCCGAAAATAGTTGACCCTAATATAGTACCCTATATAGTAGGATCCTTACTATAGGGATTCCAAAATAAGGTAACCCTAATTTTGGGAGACTCCCATATCCCATATCTGTACCACCTCGCGTTTTTTCACCCACGTGATTTTCTTGGCTTTTTTCTCTATCCAGTTCTCTTTTCTACCATCTCTTTCACAAGTTCATCTCAGTCTCAGTCGCTCTCTCGCTCTCTCGCCCTCGCTCCCCGTCGCTGTTCCTGTTTCCTGTCTCTCTGTGTCTGTTTAACTGTCAGTCGATCGATTTCTGTTTCCATCTTGTGGTGAAGATGGAAGGCTGGATGGAGACATAGGTAAGCAGATAGTGAGATAAAGCGGGGCTTGAATCGTTTTCGCCACAAAGAGTACAGTTGACTTTCAACAGTTGGATTGAGCTGGTGGACAGACAGACAGGTAAATGCGGAAATCCTAAACCTAACCCCACAAACCGTAAACCCTAACAGTGGATGCAGGTATCTTGCATAATCCCCGAGTCCCCATAAACCCGAAAGTCTGAAACCCCACAAAGCACATGTAGAGCACTTACCACTCCCAAACATCTTAAAGCACCCAGCCACCAGGTGTAAGATCAGTTAATGATCAACTAAGGCATTATGGAGCCCTAAACCCTAAACCCATGCAGAACCCTAGACCGTAAGCCTGCAAAGCCCTAAACCCTGAACCCTTAAAACCCCTAAGCCCTAAAGCCTTAACCCTTCTGCGGAATAGAAAGAGGCCCTTAAAAGAATGTTATGTTGTTTTCTGTAAAAAGAACCCCCAACCCTAAACCCTGAACCTTGAACCCGTAAGCAGGTGTATGATCAAGGCCACACAGAGCGAGCTGTGGGAGAGGCTTTGCGACAGAGTGGGCTGAAACGCTCCGAGGTCTTCCTGACTACAAAAGTGTGGAGGTGCCATTTTTTCAGGGCTTAGGGCCTGGCACTTTAGGGGTTTAGGGGTTTAGGGTCTAGGGTCTAGTATTCTAGGGATTTAAATTTAGGGTCTAGGGTTTAGGGCCTTAGGGCTTTAGGGTTTCGGGTCTAGTACTCTAGGGGATTAGGGTTTAGGGCCTGGTGGTTTCGGATTTAGGGTTCAAGGGAAATAGGGGTTTGGGGCCTGGGGTTTAGGGGTTTAAGTTACCATAATGGAACCACAATGGAACCATATTATCTACTATGGATCCTTATTTTAGGGTTTAGGGTTCAAGGGAAATAGGAGTTTCGGGTCTAGGGGTTTAGGGTTTTGGGGTCTGGTATTCTAGGGTTTAGGGTTTGGGGCCGAGGGGTTCAGGGTTTAGGGTTCAAGGGGAATAGGGGTGTAAGGTTTAGTTGCGACAGCGTAATTTCGAGTGCATCGTATAGTATGACGATTGACCGTTGGGGCCCGATTGTGGATGGCGTCGGTAAGAAGCCAATCCCGGCGGTTGTCGCCAAGTTTGTTCCTGAGAAAAGGGCCGAGGCCCCAATCCTGGAAACCCTGGATATTTCCATTGCAAGCCTCAAACTCTGCACTTTTCAAGTTGGCAGTTCGACCTCATCTCGGCGGCACGCATGTGCGTGTCTCCGCACACACATGGCTTTCCCCAATATTCAAAATCCAGCCCTATTTTCAGCTCCGCCCCAGCCCCCAGCCCAGCCCAGCCCCAGTCCCACGGCCCCAGCCCAGATTTGAAAAAACAGGTTCCAAAAGAGACTCGGTCAAAATTTCTTGGCACCCAAACCCTTAACAGTTCCTATAAGCCTCAAAGTCCAAACCCCTAAACCTCCAAGCCATAAGCCTCAAAGTCCGAACCCCTGAGCCTCTACTTTGAGGCCCAGCGGACTTAGTAAGTAGGTTATGGGTAGAGTTATAAGTCCAATAAGTGGAGTTACCCCAGTTATAACCCTACTACTTCTAGCCGACTTACTAAGTTCTCTGGGCCTCCAAGTAAACCAGTCTAAACCCTAAACCCTAAGTCCAAACCCCAAAAAGCCCCTAAACCAGAGAGGTCCAACCATGGCTACGAGAGCACTCTGAGGGCTTGCAGCCAGTCCCTCAAGCGCCTCCAAGTCAGCTACGTGGACTTGCGCCCGGGCTTCCAAGGCTTGTAGCTTTCTTTTGGGTGGTTTATCGAGTTTCTAGGCTTTTTTTGATGGGTTTCTAGGGTTGTAAAAAGGGTTTAGAATGCAGGCCTTCCAGAAGAGGGTTTTTGTAAGGGGGTTAAGTTCAGGGAATTTCAGACAGTCCAACAAGAGACCGCCCCAGAAGCCGAATCCTTATTGCAAGCATCTTCGAAAACTGAAGGTGCTTGCGTTTGGGCCTTAGGGTTGAGTCTGATTGAAAAAGTAGGATGAGTAGGTTTTAAGTGGTGGTACTGGGTATGCGTAATATATTTAAGGTTATGGTATTGACAACCTTCCTGGTAATATTCGCCTTTGCACCCCACCAGATTCCACACCACCTTAATCAAGGTTCCCTTCCTCAGGATGTCGGTTTCGGAATCCATTAGGTTTAGGGTTTGGGGGGTTTTCATTCTTCAGTTTTTTGGGTTTGCTTTCGGCAACAGTAACGGAGCTGTCGTCTGCTTTAGAGGTTGCGAAGTGGTAGTTCTGGTAGTTATACCGACAACAGCTTCATGGTCGAACAAGCAATACTGCTCAGAATAAAATTGGGCATAACTACAGCAGCAATAGGCAGTATGTTGCAACACTTAACGGCGTAGCGGTATTGGCACTGGCAGTGGCAGAAGCAGAAGTAGCACCAGCATGGGAGTCGTAGGGGTACTGGTGGTGGCACTGGAGGTAGTTGTGGTGGTAGGAATGACAAACAGAGCAGTAACACCAGTAACACTACGACGGTGTTGTTTCCGACAGCCCCAGAACTTGAAAGCCCCCAGAACCCACCCTGAACCCAAACCCCTAAACCCTGAAACCCCCAAAGCACAAACCCCGAAACCCTAAAACCTCAAAGCCGTAAAGCCCCAAACCCCAAATCCCAAAACCCAAGGTACCTGGTGCATTGGCCCGGGCCGCAGCCCAGTAACTCCGCGTCCTGGACTCCGCAGCGGCGGCTTGAAACCTGGAGAGCCATGGAGACGCTCCGTCAGGAAGGGGTTTAGGGTTTAGAGTTTAGGACTTTCAGGGTTTAGGGACTGAGGTTTAGCGTTTCGAGCTTAGGGTTTAGGGCTTAGGGTTTAGAGAAGGAAGTTTAGGGTTCAGGGACTATAGGGTTTTGGCTTTACTATTGAAAGAACGATCCTGTCAGCAACCGTAATTCGGGGGCAAATAATACCCGCAAGGCTAGTTTGCAGCAGCGTTCAGCGTATTGTGCCTATTGCTTTGTCACACTGGGTCGCTGCAGTCCCGTTTTGCTTTTAGTAGTTCTCCAAGAAAATGGACAAGTGGGAATTTCAGAAAATGGGAGACCCAAGTATGGAGCCCAAACCGCGGGATCCCGGCTACAAGGATCCCTAAAAAGGAAACGCAGAAGATTCGTTCACAACCCCAAGTAAGGAAGCTCTTGCAGGAGGGCAAGGCCAAGGCCATTGGGGTCTGCAATTATTCGATGCGACACTTGAAGGAGCTCTTTGAAACTTGCGAGGTTCGTCCTATGGTGAACCAAGTCGAGTTTCATCCGCTTCTGGTACAGGCCGAGCTACTGGAGTTCTGCGAACGAGAGGGTCTTGCCTTCCAGGCCTTTTCTTCTCTTGGCTCCGGTGACTCCCGACGTGCTCTGGACTTCTTTGCCCTTTCGGGGGTGCAGGCCGCGGCGCGGGCGCATGGTGCCACACCTGCAGCGGTGCTACTGCGCTGGGCCACGCAAAAGGGCTGCCACATCATTCCCAAGTCTTCGGACCCTGGCCGCATGAAGCAAAACGCCGCAATCTTCGGCTTCCATCTCACAGATGAAGAGCTGGAGGCCATTGATGCTGCCAATGTCAAAGCTCGCCTGACGTGGGGAGGCACAGATCCGGACTGTATCGGATGAGCCACGGGACGTCCGCTCAGCTCAAAAAGGCCCGCGTAAATCCTGAACGCAAAGCCCTGTCAGAGTGTTGTAGTTGGGGCATGCTGGGTCCTCGTCTTTTTAACGCCCTTGGACCAGAGCCCAGTCTGAGCAAGGTGCACACAACGTTTAGGGTTTGGGGCTTAAGGGTCTAGGGGTTTAAGGTCAGGGTTTAGGGTACAGGCCCCTGAACTCTGAACGTCCTTCTTCTTTCAAGCAAAAGCGTTTAAGTAAGGGAGGTTTGCCATACAGGCCCTTGCACTCGCTTCCCCCTTGTTAGAACTTCTTAGCATCCCACGCTTTACACCTTTCGGAACGGAAGTTTTTATAAGTATGCGGGCTTCACATATAACGCATGGGTGGTGGTATGGTCCGCAGGTGACTTGTCAGCATTGCCTGAGCCGGAGGATGCTTTGTTTCTCAGATTCTCTGGCAGGTACTAGTACATGGAAGACGATCTTGAAGCAGATGTACATGCCGCAGAAGGACCCAGAGAGCCTAATATCTCAGAGTGTCTAGCTTATAGTCATGATTTGACGAACCTCCGTAGTCAACCCGAAACCCGAGCCCGTATAGGAATCCTAATATTAGCCTGGAGACCAATTACTTAAGGGATGGACTGGGGCTGCCTGAGTATTGTCGCGGATCTTTGCAGCACGGTTATGGAAGGTCTGGGTTTCGAGGTGACGTAGAGGGACTAGTGACAGATCTTGTGAACCCTAAACCCTCAACTCTAGACTCGAAACCTAAAGTTTTGAAAGGGATGCAATGGATGTTTGGGGTGAGCCTCAAAGGCCCGACATGAAGATGCAGAACGTTTTGAAGCCGCAAACTGCGGCGTGGGGTCTACCAGAAACTGCCCTAACCTACTGCTCCGTAGGTTCTGATTTGAAACCCGAACATAGAATTTATAGGGATCCACACGAATTCATAGGTTTCGGTAGTTCAAGGTAGAGGATTTGGGCTGATTGCCTAGAGACTCCAACACCCCTTAATTAAGGAATACACCTCAAATTATAGTAGGATCCTTAATATGATTTAAGGAATATTCCTTAATCTGGGCTTCTTCTTTGTCCCGACCCATAGGCTCCATTGTAGTTCCTTTTTGGGGTTTCCTTGTGGATTAATTAAGGGATATTGGAGTCTCTGACTGAGAGACTGGGGACAAGTCTCAGGCTCCGCACCGCAGGATCAGCCCTGGGGCTTCACAAGCTTTGCGCCCTGCGAGCGTCAAGCCCTAGGCCCCAATAATACAGTCTAGCATAGTCTAGTATATCATAATCTAGTATAGTCTAGTATAGTATTCTATATTTCAGGATATTATGGTACTAGATACTGTAAGATAAGATAGGATAGTTCTTTTGCAAGATAAGGTCATAGAATATGACCCAAAATACAAACAAGACTCACAGCAGTTTTTCGTCGGAGTAAGAGTACGAGTAACCACTTTCCCCGACGCCAAAAATTATGGAAAGCCCAAGACCCTAAACCCTGTACTTTGCAGCCTCTTCGGACCTTTGGGCTTGGAGAAAAGGAGTTCAACAAAAACAATCAACCCTAGACCTACTATGCTTTAAGCCCCATCCCCTGTAGACCTTCAGCCCACAACCCTAAACCCTGAACCCTAAACCCTAAACTCACAACCCTAAACCCAAAGAGCCTTGGACCCTGCTGTTTCGTCGGCCAACTGGCGGCCTGGAAACTGGTTGGGGAGCTCATAGTTTAAGTGAGTATAAGGATTTAGGGTTTAGGGTACAGGGTTTAGGGTTCAGGGTTTCGGGTTTAGGGAGTTTGGGGTTTAGGTTTTAAGTGAGTATAAGGGTCGGAATGATTAGATATGCTATCACCGTATAGTCCCTACATCACTCAAGAAGAAAACACCCGAAACCCTATTCTACTACGGTAGATGTGTTGAAATTCCTTAGCCCTAGACCCTGAACCTTGTTAGTGTACAAGCCCGACCCAACCCTAAGACGTCTATATATTTTAATCCTAGAACGTATAAGAACCCTCGCGAGGCTTACATATCCGCTGCAAGCCCATTACGAGTCTGGTTACAACCCTGATGAGAAGCTTTTAAAATCGCTAGAGGCAATATCTTTCTGAATAACGTAACCCTCATCTTATCCTTATAAACCTTGTAAAACCCAAGTTCATACCTTTTACAAAACCGTCAATTCACCCAGGACGCAGGTTCCAGCACCGCCGGGGCCCTCAGAGATCCACAGAGACTGGCGGATGGCAGCCTTCCTCAAAATAGAGTTGTTTCGGGATGCCTAGGGTTCTCGGGTTTATGGTTTGGCAATTGAGGTTGAGTCACAGTTTTGGGTTTCGTAGAGGTTGGATACAGGGTATTTGGGTTTGCGACGTGCGCGACTGCAGAGTGTGAGAGGGAGAATGGCACTACCTTAAACTAGCACGACCTCCGTGTTTGTAGGTTCGTATTATGAGAGGACTCACAGGGACCCTGCAGAAATTGGCAGTTCCAGGTTGTTGCTTCAACGGCTGATGCAAAGGTCTAACCTGAAAAGTTGACGGATTTTTTGTTTTGAGTCCCTGAAGTAGCCTGCAGCAACTGCACACTCAGGGGTCTAACCTGAAAAGTTGACGGATTTTTTGTTTTAAGTCCCTCAAGTAGCCTGCAGCAACTGCACACTCAGGGGTCTAACCTGAACAACTTACGGATTTTTTGTTTTGAGTCCCTGAAGTAGCCTGCAGCAACTGCACACTGAGGGGTCTAACTTGAAAAGTTGACGGATTTTTTGTTTCGAGTCCCTCAGGTAGCCAGCAGCAACTGCACACTCAGGGGTCTAACCTCAAAAGTTGACGGAATTTTTGTTTTGAGTCCGTGAAGTTTCCTGCAATTTTTTTCGGCAGCCGTGAACCTCAAGCAAGCCTCTCAAGTAATCCTGCCTTCTCTCATCGACTTCGCGTGGCATCCTTGGACAACAGCTTGTAAAACTTCTAGCTTGCTTGCATCCTTTCAGGTCTCTTGATCATGGCAGCTCTTCCCGGCCACGAACTCAGGTACCTCCGAAGCTTTTGATGCCAACCCGTTCCTTGACCAGGACCGATCTTCGCGTTTCCGGCGCACCCGGCTCCGGCCGAGGACGGTCCCAAATTCGAGTCGCCGCCTCAAACAAAACAAAACACTGCTAACTTTCAAACTTGTGTTCATCTCAACTCAAGTACCCGCGGTGGTGGACTCGCCAGATCGCGAACCAGGCCGGAGCACAGTAAGTTAGAGGATAATTCTCGAAAGACTCCGTCGGTAGGTTTACGACCGTGAGAAGAACTTTCACACCAATCTCGGTGAAGGCTCGGTTTTCGCGATTGATGTCACCTAGTTTCTTTTTCCCCTCTTTCATTGCCAGACGATTTCATCTACACCGAGTACCAAAAGGCAGGATTCCGCCGGCATCGAGTGAGTACATATCTAGTTGGTTCAGGTTCGCGACTGGCCCACCACCAGTACGGACGGCTTCATCCTCCCGATGGTGATGGTAATCGAGTTCCGTTTGAGGCCCACTTCGGTTTCTTAGCTTCGCTTCGTTGCCTTTGCAAGTGCGCCTGACAGGAAGCTCGAACACTATTGTCGCCTGATGGACTTGGAGCCGCCGGGGCCTTGGACTCACCGTAAGTGCCCTCTTCACGCCTCGTCGCTCAGGCACCGGCTGAGGAAGCGGAACACCCCGGAGGAGCTGTACTGGCAGCTCATGTGGATCCCAAGAAGCGCGGTCCTCGTTCGAGCGAAGGAGCTCATGGGCACCCTAAACCCGAAAACCCTAATTCATAATCCATTCTTAGACCCGGAATACCAGACCCCAAACCCTAATCCTGATTGTCTAAACCCCCAACCCGAAAACGCTAATCCCAAGGCCCTAAACCCCAAGCCCTAAAGCCCTGAACGGTAGTTAGTTGGTCTTCTGGAAAGCTCGAAATGTAGGAGAATGTAGACCCCTGCGTAGTAAGCCCTTCTCCCTTGACACAGCAGACTGGGGATCTTAATGTTGATGGCCTTACAACAGGGGGGTTTTATTACGCAGGGGTCTACGTTAACTCTTTGGCAAAAGCCATGTTTTCTTTATTCTTTATCGCAGCATCGGTAGTCTGCTCGATGTAGTCGCAGAGGCGTGACGTGCCATGGAGCCACTATACCCGTTTTAAACCCGAAATCTTAAAGTCTAGAGCCTAAACCCTAAACCCTCAGCCCGAAAGCCTAGACCCTATACCCGAAACCTCAAAGTCTAACGCCTAAACCCTAAACCAACTCCCTGAATCAAATGCTGCGTTTCGGACCCTGGGTCATAAGGGTTTGGAGTTTAGGGGTTTAGTGCAGCTAGAAGCTTATCCCAGGCACTCCTCAAGTTGTTCGTGCTCTTGCAGATACGAGTTACGAGGGTAAAAGGAACATATGCATACATATACACGTAATACTGGTAACACGTAGCAAGACGTACTATGCAGTATGTGCTATTCCTTGACATACAATCCTGTTATCGTCCAAGCGAAATACATTTCACATACCCAAATCCCATTGTAGTTTGTCATGCCTCTAGCTAAGGCAGTTTCCATATGGCTGATGGACAAAATCCTGGATGACCCTAATGACTCTAAACTATGGGAACTATGGTCTATCGCTTATAATGGGTAATGCAAGATTTTGTCCATCAGCAGTAAGAAGCCGTATTATCTACCCTAAATCATAAACCCTAGCTTTCCTGCGCGACGACGGATGGCGTCGCTTGCCGCTGAACCGGAGCCGCCGGGCGATAGCAACGACGTACGGAGTCTAGACGCTTCGGCACCACGTTACTATAGGGGCCGTAATGGTTACCTATACTACTTTTGGGGGTTCCTTATGATAATATTATAGTATAATGGGCATCAAAACCATATTCTGATGATTGAGGCCCCTATGTTACACATGTTCTGATGACGATTCAGGCGTCTGTTCACTTGGTGGTCAGGGGATCAGCCTCACTGCCAAGCCACACCCAGCAGCTGAAGAGTTGTTTATGCTTTGAGGCTTTGAGGTGGGGGGTTTTTGGGTGGGGATGTCTGGCAGGGGTTCTTGGCACTTCTTTGCCTGCCTCCTTCGACCTAAACCCTACACCGTAAATCAAGCCCTAAACCCTTGACCCTAAATCAAGCCATAAACCCTAAACTCCTAAACCCTGAAATCTGAACCCTAAACCCTACACCCTAAACCTTAAATCGCCTTTATTCGCCTTTCATACCAATTGCACCTCCAGGAGCAGACTCTAAACTCCAAGCCGACACACGTCGGACGAAACCAAAGGGTTGAATGGAGTGGTTCATTCATGCGACTGTTATACAAACTGTAAATATCTACATGTATATTTATTTTATCATGCATAGTGGGACTTAATAATGCCACTAACAAGGCTCATGCTATTGTTCATGTTAATCGAGGGGTCGGCTAGCAAGTTGATGCTGTATGAAGGCGCAAGGCCTGACAGCTGGAAGGGAAGGGACAGAACGCTGAGCCACGAACAAAAGCCGTCAATCCCAACCTCCTACTTATCTCGTAGACCGGATCTGAAAACGCCCTAAACCCTAAATCCCCAAATCTAAACCTTAAATAAAAAACCCTAAACCCTGTACACATTGCATGGATCGGTGATTTTGGGTCTGATCAGGGCTTGGGTCTTCGGATGTTTCAGGATTAAGAGGATGGGGGCGCGTTTCTTTTTTTACCAGGGCTCAAGGTGATTAAGGGTGGTCACCCTGTTTCTATTGGGGCGTCGTTGATTCACAGCGTCTGGGCTTTTTCAAAGCAATGAACCTGACAAATCGAAGTGTTTAGGGCTTTGGGAAAGGGGAGCGGCCATCTCCCCGGTTGTGAATGTTCTGCTAATGCCGAAGCTCTAAACCCTGAACCGTTAAACCTAAACCCGAGACTAGGAAGTTCCAAGCCAACGAAGTTCCAGACCAGTCATTAGTAGAGGGGCCTCAAGAGTCAGAATAACGTTGTTTTAAAGGGCCCCTTTAAGGGATACCATTAGGGCTGTTGTAGGGGTTCAGTATAGGGGGCCTTAAAGATTGGAATAGGGTTCACTTGAAGGCTTCCTTTCTACGCCCCGCATCCTCAACCTAGGGACGGGCCAACACGACTCCGGCGCCTTCGGTGCGGGAAGGAGCCGACTGCATTGACGACTTTGTAGCGGTTAGGGTGGAGTTGAGTGCTTTCGCACTACTTGGAGGCCCAGGGGACTTAGTAAGTTGGCTATAAGTAGGGTTGTAATTGGGGTAACTCCATTTAGGGGACTTATAATGCTACTTATAATCTACTTGCTAAGTCCCCTGGGCCTTCAGGTAGTCGCAATCACATACCTCCAGCCGCCAAAGCTTCGACTTCCTGCAAAACCCGAGGGTTTGAACCCCTGTGCCCTAAGTCGCTTCGCCAAGGATGTTGCATGGTTGCATCTCATAGGAGGCCAAAAGGGTTTTAGCCTATGGGGATGTTTTTCATAATAGGGTTCATATTAAGGAATCCCTACCCCAAGAATCTTAAACCCCCTTTCGGCCTCCCATCAGCATCAGCCGGTGCAGGGTTGGGGTTCTGAACGTCATGAGTTTTTGGTTGACGGTTCAGGTATAGGGGGAGAGTCCACAGGGTTTAGGGTTGGGGGATATGTTGACCTTTGTCTCAAGACTGATGCCCGTGCTGCGGTAAAATCACCGCCCTAGCCACGCTGTCACATGCAAGCCAGTCTAAGCGTGGATTGTTGCTAAAGATTGCGATGTTCGGCTGTCCTTTCCCTGTGTGATCAGCTCACATGCTTATGTGTTCAGATTTGGAATCAGAGGCAGTCTGGGGTAGGGACCCTGAAACCCCCAACCCTGCGCCAGAAACCAAAACCGATGTGGGAATGTCCGAAAATTAGGGAGGAGCACCTTTATTTTGGGGTCCTGATAATGAAGACCCTACTTTTTAGGGTACTATATTAGGGTCCCCTACTTTCGGAAACTCACATGTAGAACCCAGACCAAGCGCTGCGATTCTAACCGGAGCGGTCTTCCTGCAAGGAGCATCCTCTGATGAGCCGCCCTTCGTGGTCTCTGCCAGCATGCACGCCGTGCATGCATTCGACGTGGCCTGCCCTGCTTGAGTAGGTCATGAGCAGGTTTTCTCTGGGTTCGGGGAACCCAAACCAGTTTGCCCCATTTACTGTACTGTCGGATGCACCAGGTCATCCTCTCTTTTGCAGGAGTCTTTTTTGCAGCTTGCTCGGTGGCCGGCATGTGGGTTAAAGGTGCACGAGATTCTGATTGATGCATAAAAACGTGTAATAACGATTAAGGACACGCTGTAGTTCCAGATTTTCAGGTGGAGCGTGGGCCGCATGGTCTCGACGTCTTGATGTTATAGGCTCATTTTCCCAAAAACTTCCGTCGCCTCAATTGGGTGTTTATCAAAATTAGGGCCCCTTTTTGGGTACCCTAAATAACAGGTCCCGTATTATTAATAGAGACCCAAAAAGGGACCATGATTTTGACAACCACCCAATTGTCCTAAACCCTGCATGCTTAACCAAAGCCAATCAGCCTGCAATCCGAAGCCCGCAGCCGCAGTTTCTAAACCCCTAAGCCCAGTGCCCAATATTTATACCCCAAGCAGATCCCGGTGCCGAGGACCCTTTCTGAGGAGTTCATCAGTTGTGCTTGTATATTCTATGTAGCACTACAGTAAAGCACGGGCGAGCTTTATACTCAGAAACCGAAAAGGGGAAATCAGACTCCGGCGCGCACGTGGTACGAGACCCAACTACAATTAACTCAAGATCTAAGTTGGTCTTACCTGCTGAACCCCTGACAAGGGAGAGGCTACTAGAGCACAACACAGAAACCCGCACGAAATCTGAAAAGGGCAGACCCGCCGCAACCCTCCCAACGCCCAAGCCAGGCGCGCGGAGGTAAAGGGGCGCATGTCAGCTTTTAAAAACAACAGCAACTGAATCTAAAAGCTCCAAACCTCTAGGTTCCGGAAGGGCTGTGGGCTTCGGATCGGAGGCCATGGAGGCTTCCGGGGTTTGGGAATCTAGGGTTTAGGGTTTTTGGGGTTTAGGGCTAGATGGGTTAAGGGTTTGGGGTTTCAGGTTAGATGGGTTTCGGGTTTCGGGTTAGATGGATAGAGGCTTGGGTTCAGTGGAGCTTCGTCGCATGCTGCTGGCTTGAAACAGCAGCAGGGACGGTGGATACATCATAAACCCTAGACCGCTAAACATTAAACCCTAAACCACCAAAACCCTAAACCCAAGAAACCCAAAACCCTAAACCCCACACCACAAACCCTAAATCCTGATGACCGAGGTGGAGGAGGATCCATCGCCAAGTAGTCGCCCTGTGCCGGCGCGGACGAACTGCTGCCGCTTGATGGTGGATGCCCCTTGCCTGGGTTTACGGCTCCAGGGACTGTAGGGGCCTTGATAATTACCTATACTATTTGGGGGGTTCCTTATCGTATAATATGCCCCAAAACCCCATTCCAATTATGAAGGCCCCTATATTGGGGTTTGGGGTTTAGAGTTTCGGGCCCCGGCTGTAGACCTTTTCCGTTTCGAAGATATTGCACACTACTTATGCTTATCTGCTGATCTGCTGATCTGCCCCACGGCCCGGTTGCTTAAGCCTCCGGCCTGAGGCCCTGTGTATGCGACGATTTTGCCGATGAGACTGATGCCTTTCACCACAAACTCGAATCCCTTAAGCCCCAGATCCTAAACCCTAT